AATTGTAAATATTCGATACGTGAATGTAATTAAGAAAAACTTTCCAAGAGTTGTGACTGTATTTGGAATTATAATTGGTTTTTGATATGTGAAAGTATAAAGCAATACTTTCCAATAGTTTGTGGAGATTGAATTGTGTAATTGTTTCGATAGATTGTACAATAAAAGCATTGATCTCCAATACTTGTGAGTGAATTTGGAAGAACAATAGTTTTTATGTGTGAATCATGAAAGCAATACACTCCAATAGTTGTGACTGAATTTGGAATTATAAGTGTTTCAATGGTTGAATATGAAAAGCAATACTCATTAATTGTTGTGATTGTATCTGGAATTTCATATCCTGTTTTGTTACAAATAAAAAATAAAATACTTTCATTTTTTGAATAAACAGCATTTCCATCAGATGTTAAGTAGTTACTACTAGGATGAACCGAAATATTTGTTAATTTTCCATAATAAAATGCTTCTCCATGAATTTTAGAAACTTTTTCTGGAATTTGAAACAAAGTGATTGCAGTTTGAGTAAATACTTTATTTTCTAATGAAGTTAAATTTGATCCTTCCTCAAAAGTAACATTTTGGAGTTTATCACAGCAATTAAATACCTTATTATGTATTTTTTCAACAGATGCTGGAATGATAATACTTGTCATTTGTGAAATAGAATAAAATGCACTGCTTCCTATTTCTAGGAGTCCTTCTGGTAAAAGTATCTGATTGACATTAGAACAGCCATTAAATGCATAAGAAGATATTTTTGTAAGTTTCTTGCATGATGATAGATTTATAGTAGTAAGATTTGTACATCCACAAAAACTATTTTTTCCAATTGTAGTTAAGTTAGGATTTTCTTCAAATGAAAAGGAAAATAAAGTTTTGAGAAGGTAAAAGCATTGATCTTGGATGATTTCGCATGTGGATGATATCCTGAGGTCTAGTGATGTATCATTAACTTTTGTGAGGTTTTTGCCGTCACTAGAATAAAAACGTTTGTCAATATCTTTGTAAAGAAGTAATAAAAAAGTAATCATAATGAATTACTCAATTACACCTTCTCCTTACGTCGTTGTTTATGATAGAAATTTGAGAAAAAGATAGAGACCAACGCTCAATAAATTTTGAAAAAAAATTTTAAAAAAATTGAAAGAAACTATCACTATCAAAAATTGACAGTATTCGTTTTCACATTCTCAAAAAAATGAAATCTTATCTTTTCTTTTATTATTTTTAGAATTGAAAGATGGAATACAAAAATTTTTTACGGGTGCGACCAAAACCAAAAGTGAAATTTCACTAAAAGTGACGATTATTTTGAAAATTCATTATCCATGGCAATTATGTATACTATTCATCAGAACCTACTCTGTGGTATCATTTTATTTCTCGATGATGAAGTTTGAAGAATATTAAATTTGATGATTGAATTATTTGATATTATTTAATAAATATAATTCATCAATACAAAAAAAAATGATTGTGTATACTATATACTTCGATTATTGATATTAAGAAATGCTTTATTGATTAAGACAGATTCAATATTACATTCTTTTGCAAATATTTTCTTTCACATAGTGCAAATATCAATGAAAAAAAAAATGAATCTGGAAATACTTCTTTTTATTATTCAGCATTGAATAATAATAATAAAGAAACAGCAGAACTTATAATTTCATCTGGTGCAAACATTAATAATAAGAAAAAAATAAAAGAAAGAAAACACTTTTTAAAATAGTCGTGATTCTTAAAACATATGATACAAAACTATATTGTTTCTACATAAGATAATTTTCATTAGGAATAAATATATTTAATAGAAAACAGGATGTTGTTCATTATGATAAAATAAAAATAGTTTTACTTAGTAAGATGTTTCCAGAAAAGATGTGTAGAAGGATAACGTAAAGATTTGAGATTTAAAAGATTATTCGAAACATGTGCAATATGACATGAAATCATAAGTCTTCGTGGAATTCCGGAAGAAACAATCATTTTAAGATAATCTGTGGATGTGTTCTCAATAATAAGAGGACATCGAATGGATTTGCAATCATGGAATGCATCAATCTCAACATCTGAAACTGAAAGTGGGAAATTGATGTATTTCAGATTTAAACAGTTGTTGAATGAATGTTCTTCAATAACAGAAACACTGTCTGATGTAATATTGATTTTCTCAATGTTGTTGCTAGAATTGAATGAATAACTACAGATAACATCGCAGCTAATGTTGAGTTCTTTGTCTTTTGAGGAACTCAAATGAAAAATAAGTTCCCATTTATTATTGTTTTTGTAGTATAAAGTATTATCAATGCATTTGTATTTTTCTGATGAAAAATTACTGATATTTGTAAGAGATTCGCATTCTGAAATAGAATTAATTGAAAATGTATCAAGTGAGTTTGTTTCACTGAATATAATTGATTTTAGTTTCTTACAATAAAGAAATGAATATTCTGAAATGATTTTAAAAGATTGTGGAATTTTAATACTTAATAATGAAGAACAATTCTCAAATGATTTATATCCAATCTCTTCTGATCCTTCTCGAATTGTAACTTCTTCTAAATTAGTACATCCACAAAAACAATGATAAGGAATATTTGTGATATTACGAACTTTCTTTAATTTAATGCAATTCTCAAATGCATTATTCATAACAGTCAAAACTGGTGATGAAAATGTGAAATTTTCTAAATTATTGCAATCTTTAAATGATGATGTTCCTAATGTTTGTAAATAAGGAAATGAATAATTAAATGATCTTATTTTTGAACAATTTCTAAATGCTTCTTTTCCTATATAAGTTATTTGAGAATCTTCTGTGAAATAAAATTTCTCAATTATAGAATTTTCAAATACTTTTTCGTTGATTTTTTTAACAGATTTAGGAATTGTAATACGAGTATTATCATAATAAGGAAAGTATCCCCAATATTCATAAATTATGGCTTGATCAGAATCCATAATCAAGCAGTCTGGTGTAATAATAAGATTTGATTCATTCAGATATGAAATTGAAACTTTGTATTTCTTTGAATTGAATCAAAAATAGAATTTTGAGAATCATAAAATAGAGTTTTGCAAGTGAAGGATAATTTGACTTCTGGCATTTCTGTTGTAACAAAACCAGATCCTCTAACAGTCATTGTTGAATTAGGGAATTTAATTAGTTTAAGATTTTCACAATATTCAAATACATATTGATCAATGTAGTCTACTGGACCTAAAAAAGTAACTTCATGTAAATGATGACAATAAGAGAAAGCACCTCTTAGAATCATGTTTACACTTGCCGGAATTATAATTGAATCGAGATTTGTACTATAAAAGGATTGCTCCCAAATAGTTGTGATTGAATTTGGAATTGTAAATGTTCCGATATTTGCAAATATTAAGAATCTCTCTCCAAGAGTTGTGACTGTATTTGGAATTATAATTGTTTTGATGGATGAAGATACAAAGCAACTCTCTCCAATAGTTGTGGTTGAATTTGGAATTGTAATTGTTTCGATAGATGTATATTGAAAGCAATACATTCCAATACTTGTGAGTGAATTTGGAAGAACAATAGTTTTGATGTGTGAATCATGAAAACAATACTTTCCAATAGTTGTGACAGAATTTGGAATTATAAGTGTTTCAATTGTTGAATATGAAAAGCAATACTCATTAATTGTTGTGATTGTATCTGGAATTTCATATCCTGTTTTGTTACAAATAAAAAATAAAATACTTTCATTTTTTGAATAAACAGCATTTCCATCAGATGTTAAGTAGTTATTATTTGGATGAACCGAAATATTTGTTAATTTTCCATAATAAAATGCTTCTCCATGAATTTTAGAAACTTTTTCTGGAATTTGAAACGTAGTAATTGCAGTATAGGTAAATACATATCTTTCTAATGAAGTTAAATTTGATCCTTCTTCCAAAGTAACATTTTGTAGTTTATCACAATAATTAAATTCAGCTTTTTCTATTCTTTTAACAGATGCTGGTATAATAATACTTGTCATTTGTGTTACATACCAAAATGCATCTCTTCCTATTTCAAGGAGTCCTTCTGGTAAAAGTATCTGATTGACATTAGTGCAGTAATAAAATGCACCAGAAGATATTTTTGTAAGTTTCTTGCATGATGATAGATTTATAATAGTAAGATTTGTACATCCACTAAAACTTGAACTTCCAATTGTAGTTAAGTTAGGATTTTCTTCAAATGAAAAGGAAAATAAAGTTTTGAGAAGGTAAAAGCATTGATCTTGGATGATTTCGCATGTGGATGATATCCTGAGGTCTAGTGATGTATCATTAACTTTTGTGAGGTTTTTGCCGTCACTAGAATAAAAACGTTTGTCAATATCTTTGTAAAGAAGTAATAAAAAAGTAATCATAATGAATTACTCAATTACACCTTCTCCTTACGTCGTTGTTTATGATAGAAATTTGAGAAAAAGATAGAGACCAACGCTCAATAAATTTTGAAAAAAAAAATTTTAAAAAAATTGAAAGAAACTATCACTATCAAAAATTGACAGTATTCGTTTTCACATTCTCAAAAAAATGAAATCTTATCTTTTCTTTTATTATTTTTAGAATTGAAAGATGGAATACAAAAATTTTTTACGGGTGCGACCAATAACAAAAGTGAAATTTCACTAAAAGTGACGATTATTTTGAAAATTCATTATCCATGGCAATTATGATTACTATTCATCAGATCCTACTCTGTACTATCATTTTATGCTTGATGATGAAGTTTGAAGATTATTTAAAATTTGATTATTGAATTATTGGAATAATATTCCATGATTCGTCAACACCAACTTGGCTCCGTTATTAGTTTAAAAATCATTAATAATCGTAACCGAAAATTAAAATTACTTACAATTCGCATAAGAATGTTTTAGGTGTTATATTACAAACAATGTGATAATGCATAGGAAGCATTAATACAACAAAACTGATAATATATATAAAGATATTAATATATCTTACCATCGAGCAATACGATCTGCAATTTCTTTGGACTTTTCTTCATCAACCTCTTGCTTTTTTTCAAATCTTCTTCTTTCATAACCATTAGATCTATCAATTCCATCCCACCAAGGGCCAGGATGTATTCCAAACCTATTAGGCTGACCAGGAATGTAATCTATTAGTGGTTTTTCTGTCTTTTTGTTCATCATTATGAAAAATGGATCAGCTGCGCTAATTTCTTTCTTTTTAGGTTGTTCCTCTACTTTTTTCTCACTGATCATCTTCTGAAATTCATTCCATCTATCTTCTCCTTCTTTTGAATTCAATTCAATATCAGAATTTGATTCTTCTTCTTCGATTTTTTCTGGTTCTTTTGTTTCTTCCTTGCTTTTTCCTGTAATCTGTTCTATTTTTTCTTGTGTTTCTTCATCCCAGCCGCCTAATTTTTTTTCCTTATAGCCAATAACTTTAATTGGTTGTCTATTTCTATTGAAGTCCTTAAATGAATAGGAATTGTTCGTTGGTCTTGATGAAATATTATTAATATTGAACCCTCTCATGAAAGGGCAAAAAAATGAAAAAGTGACGCGACGATAAAAGATTTTAGATTTTTTTCATATGACTCAAGCCACAATCAACATAGTTCCATCAAACAACGCCCAATTTTTAACAGCCGAAGAACTTAATGATCCTAACAATGAAATCATTTTCGTCCAGCACTCAAAGGATGTTGATATTGAAAAAATTCAAGCCGAGTTAAATAGAATGCAAGAGCATAAGAGAGGAAAAGAGGTTGCTGTAACCGAGATTCCTGGAGCAAATTGCTATCCATTAGCTTTTGACGATGGTACTTTAGTTCTTACAAAGAAAGTTGACCATTACTATGTTGCCTTACCCAAGAAATCAAATTAGAGAATGATTAATATAATTTTCATAAATTAGAGTTATTTACAAAAAAAATTATATCTTTTTTTTTATAAAATTACAATCATCAAATTCATCTTAATTTACCTATTTATGTGCAATGACATTATCATTTATAACTTTGTACAAAAGTCTTATTGAAATATTTTTATTGTGATTATTATGTTTGATCTTAATGAATTCTGATGCTTTAGTTTATCCATGGTTAAAAATTGATTATATTTATCGTTAAATTCAAAAATCATGAAAATAAATCAAAATATTTTCTAAAAAAATGCTTAAAAAGGTAGTAATAATTAACAACCAAGATTAATATATATTTGTTTAGTTATTTGTAAAGACCAAGGATCTCTGTTTCGTTATATTCCGGGATATCGAATGGAATTACTGTATTGTTATGAAGGAACTCGATGATTGTCTTCATATTCCTTGATCCCTCAAACTGCATTGGTTTTGGGCTTGTTCCATTCCATAAAAGTAAAGTTGGGTATCCATCAATTTCTGGAAACTCTGATGGCTTATCGTTTGCGTCATCATCGTATACGTACAACATGTTTGGAGTTCCATGGAGTACGTGAGCTGTTGCGTTGAGCACTGGTTTCAGGCGTTTGCAATGTCCGCACCAAGGAGCTGTAACTGCGACCAATGTGTTGTTCTTTGAGTCGAGGACAAGGTTCTTGAAGGATTTCCTTGTTACTTCCTTGAGAGGACCGTAATTATTCAATTGTGATTCAGCCTTTGAAAGAGGAGTTGGTTCGAGTTCGCCATTGAGAACTTTAGCAACATAGTTTTCAATATATTTGATATCAAAGATGTCTCCATCTTCCAAAGTCTGGAAATATCTTTCTGTACGGCTTGTAGTGTTTTTAATTAAGAAGAATGGCTGTAAGACGGACTCGAGTTTAAGTTGACGTAATGTTGGCGCAATGTATTCGCGTGGAAGGGCTAAAGCAAATAATTTTTCACCAAATTTTGACTTCAAGTAGCCAAGCTTCGAATACATCTTTTCTGCTGATTCTGTATCATTGACATCAACGATATATGTAGCAACGAATGGCTTTGTCTTGATTAATGATTGATTATAGGAATCTACATCGCATTTGCTGATTTCTTCAACGGAAGATTTGATTTGGAGTAACTGTCTATCGCAGGATCTGTAGAGGTAAAGACCTGATTCAACATCTGGGAGTCCGATTTCTTTAAACAAGGAAGGACTGACAAGAAAGACTGATTGTGTAGCATACTCCTTAGGAATTGTCTGGATGCCAACTCCGAAGATAGTATTTATCTCCATGTTAAATAATCCTTTTAATTCTCCGGAAGTTTTAACTTGGTAATTCTGAGAATTCTTAATGAAATTGAGCCAGCGAAGGAACAATCCTGATGTTTCTGCCTTGAATGGTGAATTAATAATCTCTCCATTCTCGAATGCAATGACTGATTTAGTTTTAACATTGAATTTTTCGCTTTCGTTTGCTGGTGCTGTGCAGAATCTTATAGAATCCTTATTCTTAAATATACCATAGTTAGCATATTCAATATTCTGTGGATAATCAATTCCGAAAAATACGACTGATTTTCCTGGAGCTTTAACGAAGTTTTCAAGTTCAGATCCAACAAGATTAGGAAGGTTTTCCGATGAATTTTGAGTAGTAACGCGAATAGCTAGTAATAATCCAAACATATGAAATGACAAAAATGTCATATTGCCACTTTACATGACATTTATTATTGTTTCAACCATCTTTGTTATAAAAAATCCAAATATTAAAGAGAGAGAGATATTCTTACTGCAACAATTTAAAGCTATTCGTGGATTGTAAAAATGGTTTTTCATGAGATTTTTCGTTGATTCTTAACAAATTTTAAAATTTTCATAATAAAAATGCATAAACTCATGTGAAATTATCATACGCTTAAACCACTTTTGATTTTGTGAAGGAAAATTTTTCCAAAAAAAATCGAAAAATTTGAAAATAATGAAAAAATTTATGATTTTCATTATAAAAAGATTAAAATAGAAAAATTTTTGAATTTTGATAATAGATATTTTTACTTAATCTTTCATTTTATCGCATTAACAATATTAAAAATGTGCTTGATTTCAAAATTTAAAAGATTATTAGTAAAACTAATAGAAAAAACGACCTTAGACACAGAAAATAACAAATAAATATCTGATTTTTAACTAATATAAACACATGTATTTTATTCTTAATATAAAGTGGATTCTAATCCTTATTAATCTCTTGCTTTGAGATCGAGTATGAATTTCTAACAACTACATCCCATACATCTGGACTACGATCAAATATTTCGAATTTACCAATAATATCTTTATCTGTTGTTTCGTAAACATGGGAAATTAAATGAACCCATTGCTGTGATTCATTTAAGAATGTCCATCCACGGCTTTTCAATTCCTTTGCGGCAAAATATTGATATGGAGAATTTGGAAAATAATAAAATATATAAAACAATATGTATATATCGTAGTATTGAAACATTTCTGGTTGCAACAATTTCATGGCTGGACGTTTTGGAAAGTCGGGATTTATTTTTTCATCTTCTGGCTGATATTGAACGAAGTCAAAAGGTAAATCTGGAACCATTTTCATTGATTGCTCGAATTCTCTTGAAATATTATCTTCCTCTATAATTTTGTTGTATTGTTGAATATCATTTTTTGCTTTTTTAGGATTTTGCAGGGAAATATGCTGCTGAGGTACTGCAGGTGGCATCATTTCCATTTTAAACAGATCAGAAAAGTCTTCGTTCTCTGCAGGTTTCTTGGAAATTGGAGACTTACTCATTGATGTCACGTTTATTGCCACTTTTTATTATAAACAAAAAATGAATGATTCTAATTTCAACCAAATGGATGCATTCACTTTATTTTGTTATAAAAACAGAGAGATGGTAATGACACAGAATCCAAATCTACCAGTATTAGAGGTAAATAACAAATTAAATGAAATGTGGATGAATTTGAGCGATTCTGAAAGGATGCAATACACTGAAGCTGCTGCAAGCAATAACCAACAGAAGAAAGATCAACAACAGCAATATACTTATGGTCATACGAACTCTCAAATGAATGGAATTGATTTGAATTTAATGCATACTCCAGAATGGCCAACAGACCCTCACAAATACTTAGTATGGCTTGGAGCTCAAGTTCTTCAGCAACTTCCTCAGTTTGTTCAAGATAATCCTGACAGTGATATTGCAAACCTCGTTTCAAAGATCAGATTTAACCCATCAAAGCCAGACAACATGTAATATCAAAATACGAAACCTTTTTAATTTTGCCAAATTAATATTTTTGAACTTATCTAATTTTTCGATTATTTCCTATTCTACCAAATATTAGCCTTACATAAGGTCATCTCAATACAGTTTACGGACATATAATCATAATCTTAGCAACATTGTGCCAATTATGATCGTTATATAGTATAAATCCTTTTACAGATACTGTTACTTTTTGTAGGCTAGATACTTAATAAAATTTTGTTTGTTTTAATACTCATAACGTATTTTTTTCAACAATTAGAATAAATCTAGTGAGTTCAATTGCTTATAAATCTTGTATCGATTTAATGCCGAACGCATTGTAGTTTTAAAAAGATATATCATATTTTATCATATAAGTTTAACATAATAAACAATTTTACAGTAAAATTACCAGTACTCTTGCCAGATTGGCTTATGACTAAGATTCTGATGTTCAATCATAGTCGGCTTTAATTCGTAATTAGGATGATGGATTGGAATCATGTTTTGAGCAAGCTTAAATCTGTATTCCATGATGAAATCAACTTCATCCTTCGAAAGATTTGCTGGGATATTTCTATAAATAGCTGCTGAATGCTTATTATGTTGTTGACCAATATTTTGAACAACTTTATTGTGATTATCGAATATGGTATCCTTCTTCCAGTTTTGAACCGGAACTTTGAAGGCAGTGCCTGAGTGCAAGCAACCTCTTGTAATTTTAACGTTTGGATCAAGTTTTTCTGGATGTTCTTTCCTAACTTCTTGTAATTTCTTATTTTGTTTACGTCCATTAACTTTTGTTTGCTTATAAATCTTGTCAATCTCGCTGAGTAATTGATCTGCGCGCTTATTCAGCGACATTTAACGTATGAACTTTACAATGTCAAAGTTTACTTGTCAGATTTCTAATATGGAGTTCTTTAAATGGGTCCGCGACACAATGGGTAAGCAAGAGGTTATCCACTTCCCAGAAGCTGGCTTCAAATATTTAGAGAATCAGCCTCCGAAAAACCCACAATATTTAACATTTCACAAGGAAGTCATCCAATTCATTCAGGATATCATTCCAACACCAACTGATATTGCTGTAAGAAGATACATTGTCGATATTATATGCACGAGAATTCGTCAATTTTTCGAATCCAAGAAACATGAAATAGTCATCATTCTTCCTTGTGGTTCATGCTTGAATGGTACATTCCTTCCTAATGGTGATATCGATCTTGCTCTATTCCTTCATCCAATGACCGAAGAAATCTTAACCATCATGACTCATATACGTGAATGCTTAAAGGACATTGCAATCGAAAATTCATGGAACCCAATTCCACAGGCTCGTGTTCCTGTCGTTAAATTTGTCGTTAAACCAGGTATTCATATTGATATCTCAATTGATGAATTGCACGGACCTTTATCAGTCAACCCAGTTCGTGCCATCTTCTTAAAGTTCCCATGCTTGTTACCAGCTCAAATTCTTATCAAAATTATGCTTTATCACTACAAACTTGATTCTCCTTTCTCTGGAGGCATTTCGTCGTATGTCCTTCAAATTATGCTTCTAGCTTACATCCAATATGGATCTAGCGATAACATTACAGATCTTATTGTTGGATTTTTCAAATTCTATGGACAAGAATTCAACTTCACACTTACAGGAATCGATGTAGTTGGAAATGGTCGTTTCTTCTCTAGACTGAAAGAAAATTGCTTAAATCTCGAATCTCCTTCTACAATGTACATCAGAGATCCAATGAACCCTAATAACGTTTTAGGACACAACGCTTTCAAGATGGCCCAAGTTAAAGATCTATTTTCTAAAACTTACCACATGATCACTCATGGCCACGGAACTGAGTTTATTAACGAGCTTAGAAAGGAACTTCCTGAATTTAGAGCATATCAGAAGGAACTTGAAGCTTTTGCCTTTAAGAATGGCATTGTCCCTGTTTAAATTTCATAATAAAATTTAGTTTATGTAATCATCTCATATAAGCAAATAACATTATTTTTAAAGGCTTTTTGACAATGTTTAACTACATAGAATCTTTAAAATCCACTTAATATTGAATTCAATTTCAATTAATCTTTTGGTTCGATAGATGCCTCTCGATTTAATGTTAACACCAAAATCAATAAGAATATATATTTGTTTACAAAGAGAAGATTGATTAAATTTAAGTTAATAGTCTCAAATTCAAAATGAATACTATTTCATTATGAGAAGCAAAAAATCATAACATATCATACACTGAACAAGAAACACCTCATTGTGGATGTTCATTTCAGAAAAAAAAATATCAACATAACACTTGGAATTTGGTGAAGTATAACAAAATTTCATTTTATATTTTACTTACAACTACCATTTATAAGAAGGTTAATTAAGCAGCTTGATAATGCCTGTGAAGTATCACCATAATTCATTTTTCAAGTCTTTTTTATATTTTTGTCACTTTTGCAAATATCGTGGAATACGTTTTAAATTTAATTTTTCCGTCTCATTTTATGTTCAAATTTATCAACACATGATACTGATTTTATATTTTAAGTCAGACAAGCATTTATTTTAAAATTTGATTTTGTAACGTTTTTTTTTTAGAGAGGAGAATGACTTCGGAGGAATTCTCACACTCCGACAGCTATAAAGGATATGTGAATAGTATTCTCCAAAGTGTTGAAGATAGGTCTGTCCCTGATCCAGTTTGGGGAAGCAAAATTCCATCGAATTATGAAGAGTTAAGACAACATTGTCTTCAATTCGTTGATAAATATTCTACAACACCTACAATCCAACCAAAACCAATCATTACAACTCTTGAACCTTACAAAACAATATTACCAACTTTTACTTCAGAATTTATTAAAAATTATCGCGATCAAATGATCAGCGAAGTCAGGATGCAGAAGTTTAGAGAACTCTGCCAGTATTTCCAATCAAATGCCGATATTTCTCTCGAAGTTGCTCAAGAACATTGCGATACTCAAGCAGACGACTTTTCTCAAGAAGTAGAACCCTTTGGAATTCTCTCAGAAACAGAACTTGCTAACATGTGCCTGTCAAATGTTTACGCAAAGTCAGAGCATCATCTTTATATTTCATCTGTTGCTGAATTGATTACATACTTCCCATACATGAATATAGCAAGTACAACAACCAACTTTGTATCACTTTATGCCTCAATTCATAAGCAATTTACACCGGGTGTCGCTGAAGCTGCTGGATTTACACCACCATTAGTTTTAACAACAAGCGAACAGCTTGATGCAGAACTCCAGCGCTTAGCCACCAACTTTTCCCTACAAGTTGATTCATCCCAAAACGATTTACTTTATTCCATCAATAAATTATTCATTTCTACAGCCGAGAAGTCCGTAACCTGGAATATCTTATGCATCAACGATCAAATCAGCGATCCTGCTGCTTCAAGTGTACAATTTAAGTTATTTGCTGCTCGAGCTCATATCAACACCGATGTACAGCAAAACATCAATTACATACCACCTCATAGACAATTACACTTTGTAGAATCCATGTTAGATTCTTATTCCGACAAAGTTGATGAAATTTTATGCGGCGAAGAGTCTTTTCTTCACGTTGCATCAGCACAAGTTGTTCACCAGCATATTACAGAGATAACACGTGGTGCGAACCAGCACAACGACAATTCCAACAACGCAACCGCCCAAAAACAGTCGGGAATCATCAAAATGAAGTTTTTGAGGGCACAAATGCTTCGCCAGACGATTATTTCCACGGTAAACTGGATGATATCGACCATCAAAGGCATAGAACTCGATCAGCGCGATGCAACTAATCCAGATTGTCTCAATACCGCATCAATTCTCTTCCAAAGGGATTTAGTTGTTGAATCAAAACAATTCCCACATTGTATTGTTATAAGAAACCCATCAACATCCCACAATGTCATCTATGAAGAGACATTGAACCACATGGAGAGAATCCGCAATGATTTACTCAATTTCGGATCATTTTACATCCGAAAATGGGAAAAAGAATGCGGATCACAAATTGACAGGAAATCAATTGTTGAAGATCTTTATGAATGTGAAAACAAGTATCAGAATGGCAAGAAGCAATTGATCGAATCCCTTTTGGACTTGTACAATAACACATTCGATCCTGAAATGTGCAAGAGAATCTACGAGTTCATTAAATACGTAGTTTTCTCAAGACCTTTGATAGCTCTCGATGTTTATGATTATTTCATGCTTCCTTTCGACATGAACACGAATATTCTCAAGTTACAAGCTGAAGTAATCAGTTCTTCAATGATCAAAACAATCGATGACTTGGAACTCGTCTTCAACGCTGTTAAAACAGCTGTTTCTATCATTGGTTTGAAACAAAACACGTTGAATGTTGATGCGTTCTTGAATTTGGAATTCATCATTTGGACTTATGTCAGAGATTTCTGTCAAAAAGTCGGTGATTCTGAACCTGACCTCACTTCACTTATTGAAAACATCAATGTTTCGATGAGATTGAAGAATATATTAATGCCAGGAAGTCCACAGACTGTTGACCAAGCTCCTTATTACGCTGGTTTGCAAGGAGTAAGATTCGAAGTCATCAGATCTGTCATAATTTACAGAGCTTATTTAGCACAATGTGAAGTGATGAAAGAAGACACAAAACAACACTTGCAGAGAACATTGTTCGCGGAACTGACATCAGAAGAGATTGATATTGAAGATGGAATGATTTTGGCTGTTGATGAAGTCAAAGAAAGTCAAGTAGAACTTGCAGGAGAAGGTTTGGACATTGTAAATCGTTTGCAAAGTGTTGAATCATCACTTTTGGATGCAATTGTCGCTTATAATTTCACAATAACAGAAGCAAAGATAAGAGAAGCTGCAATGTCAAAAGTGGAATTACCAAAACAAGCTCCATCATGTTATTCAAAGTATTTCTCACTCGATGAATGCAAGAAACTGATTGAATTCCTCGAGCAAAGAGAATATCTGCCATTCCAATCGATCTTCAAACTGAAAGCAAACATCAGAGAATCATTGCAAGTGTTGAATCTCAATGCTGGCTCTCATTTCGATGAATTGCTCAATGCACAACAAAAACAAACGAGTGTTTCTGTCCAATTCCTTCAAAACAGAGCGAGATTGCCTGATGTAATGAAGATTTTGGCTTTGTTTGAAATATCTTCTGATAGAATTCCAAGTGTTTACGATGGATATTCACTCATTGAAAGTGTACAACCTTCAATGAGAAGAGAAAAAGCAAGAGGTGCTTTGGAATTCTACAGTTTCGTTATTTTATTGACATTCTTGAGTTACCACGCTTCAACATTGGATCAAACAGTTACAAAGATCCATAAACATCAGCGTAAAAACAAATACAAAGCTCCACACTTACAATCTTTGCTTGAAGAAACAAATGGACTCCAAAACGATGCACAAAAGACACAAGCAGCAAAAACATTCGCAACAGATTTGTTGATAAGAATAAATGTCGCTTGTATCGAGTCTGGCATCGAATTCGGAAGATCCTATCATGAAAAAGCTGAAGGAACAGCTCCTCCAATTCTTGATATCAGTGGAAATTGGACAATTTCTGCTGAGAAACCACAAGAAGTCAAGAAACAGAACATCATGAAAATCATTGAAGAACAACTTGATGAATTATCTTCTTTGAACATTTCTTTGGCGAACATGTCCTTCATTTTCTTCTGGAACATTGATAACGAACAACGCAAAGTTATCAAGAAATGTTTCGACACATTGAGTGGAGAAACAAATTTAGTACAGAGATTTAGACAACTCCGCCAAAAGATTTTGTTAATTCGTTTGTTATCAAGTCCAACATTTTCATCAGGAGAAATCTGTGAATTCCCATCTCCTTTCAATCATCTTCTTTTGATTTTGGATAATATTTTGGATGGAACCCCAGAAAGTTTAAGATTTGTTTTGATTCATCTTTTAATACAAAGATGTATTAAAAGACCGAAATCATCAGAACCTGTTAAACTTCTTCCTCCTCCTGTTGTTACTGAGAAATCTCCTTTCCTTGCTGATGTTGATTCATTGCCACAAGAAACTAAAAGCGAAACATTACATCCAGCTTTGGCACAATTCATTGAACAGTTACAATTGCATTCAACAAGTGATTCAAGGAATGAAATCAAGATTTCTCAATTCCACGTCAACCAGGCACTTTTGAAGTTTTCACAGTCTATTTCTCAGTTGTTTGATTCATCATTAGTTCAATCACACAAAGCATTCCTTGCTTTGCATACAATGCTCTTTGAATCAAAACACAGACACGATGAACTCTTCAGGAAACGTGTCCAAGCAATCAACCAAGAAGCAAGGACATTCAACAGGAAACTTCAAACAGCTCTTGCAGACAGATCTCACACAGTTGGATATGAGATCAACCTTCTCCAAGAGACATTGAAGAGCTCTAAATTCGATAAGAAAGAGCGTCAGGAAGCAATAAGAAGAAAACTCAAAGAAGAATATACTCCACAAGTCAGAGAAATGACTTTGCAACTGTTCTCTTTGAAGCATAATTTAGAACAGTACCAAAAGAATTTGCAACATGAAATCGAAGGAAACATGTTCGAAATAAAGAAACAATCAATCTCACAGTTGTTGAGATCACAGAACCTTCCTGATGAAGTCAAAGACTCAATGAAACAAGCTTTCGATTTCGATGATGCTCTTCACGAATTAATGGAAACAAAAAGTGAATTAAGTAGCACAGTTTTCAAATTGAAAGCAATGAGATTATTGCAAGATTTGGCAGTCAGATCTGACTTCCAAGTCAAGCTGAAGAAGATCGAAGAACAGCGTGAAATGGTCAAGCAGGAAAACAACGAATTTTCCAAGGAAAGAGACGTCAAAGAAGCAGCTCTTAAACAACAATATACAACAGTTATGCAAAGTGTCAGAGCTGCAGAAAAAGAAGTCGAAAAACTTAGAAGAGAACTCGAATTGGAGAACAAGAACAGATCGAAACTTAGAGAGTGGAGAACGAAACATGAGAAGAGAGTTGCTGTTCTTGAAAAGAAACTCCAACGCTTGACAGAATGGTCTAAATACAAACCAGATAAACTAATTTTCCAGTTGGATTTGATCGAAAAGGAAATCGAAAGAAGAAAACGAGCCAAAGAAAGAGGACCAGCACTTCTTGAGAAGACGAAACAGACAGTTGATAGGGAACTTAAGAGATGTCAGGCTCAGCTCAAGGCACAAGAAAATGCAAGAGAAGCTTTGGAGAAGGAAACAAATGCTTCGGCAATGAAACAAAATCTTACATTTTCAAACGAAATTCAGTCACAGGATTTGGTCGCTGTCATGGAAGAGAACTCTAAGCTCAAGGAAGAGAACGAACAGTTGCAGCAAAGATTGGCTGAACTTTCCCTTCAGATCGCTGCTGTTTCTCAAATTAATATCGGAGGAATTAAGATCAAAGCATCAAGACTTGATCAGTAATTTTTTTATTTTTTTTTATTTGTAACAAATAAGTATTTTTTTATAAAATTTCTTTTTTAAAATTATACCTTGACTGTTTACAATACTGAATCATGCAATTAATGTTTATACGTATGATGATCTTCATGAAGAATCACAAGATGTAATCTGGGGAATGATATTTCAGCTTTGAAATATAGTGAGAATTTCAAAAACATTTATTCAATCAGTTGATATTAAAATGATTAGACTTATTATTCTATTGGATTACACCCAATGATATTATGATTGTGATAGTATTAAGCAAGGTTCTCACCGAGAATGAAAATATAACTATCATAAATAATTGAATTATATCTAAATAATTTGTTTGTAAGTATTGTGATTTGAAATTTCACATTATAAGGTAATATGTCTTGAATATACTATAATTTATTGTTTTGACTAGAGAGAATTTGAAATTATTTTTTAATGATTTATTTTGTTGTTATTTTGTATGAAATCATAATAAAACTATAAAAATAGTCAAAGTAAATATATACTCTATCTTTATTCTATTCACCTGCATACATATCGAGGTCGATTCCTAAAGTCTTAGCGACGTAGTGAACTTCAAATTCGGGTGCTAAGCAACGAACTTTAGGAGTCATTCTTATATCTCCTCTTATCTCAATAAGACCCAAATCAACGAGATTTTGGAGTTGGATATAAACAGCGTAATCGCATTCGAAATCGTCACAATGGTAGAATACTAAAGCTCTAGAAATGGCTAAAATTCTCTCCAAAGGAACAAATTCGTATTTTTCGGAGTAAATTACGCCTTTTCTCGGTCTTTTGGCCGCTCTTGTAAAACGAGCAATATCGGCTTGGATTGTTGTTCTACATGCAATATATGATGCCAGTAAAAGTGTTTTTGTAAGTTTTGGCAAATTTGAAACTCGACATTCTTTTTGAGCCTTCATTTGGCTGAGTTCTGATATAACAATCACACCAAAGTTCGGATCTTCTGGTTGTACAGTATTTCCAACGACTTTGAAAGCAATGTAGATGATATCTCGAATATCTCGTGTAATTGTTTGACATAAGAAGAGGATTTTATCTATATAAGAATCAAAGTTAGGATCTTTGGCTTTTGGATGAAGAACTGGTATGATTTTCTTGATATCTTCTGAAGTGTAAGCTGGGAACTCAATATCAAAGACATCAAGAGGATAACTTGTCATACGCTTGATGGGCATCCTTGAGGAGAAAACGAAAGTGATATTTGGTAATAAATTGCTTTGAACTGCAGCACTCACTGAAGTGAACAAATCTCGGGCATTTTCACCAAGTAATTCAACAGAATCAATAAAAATAACAGACTTTGGAGCATCTTGCATGTACTCGTAGAATGTTCTGAAAGATTTTGGTCTCTTTGGGGTTTCAGTAAATAAATCTGTAATTCTTCCATATAAATCGCCATATTCGGACTCCCCATCACAGTAAACATGAACTTTTTTCATGGTCAATTTCTTAGATTTGCAAATTGCATCTATTGTAGTGGATTTTCCGGATGAAATCGGACCTGATATTGTTATCAACCTAATTCCACACTGAATGGCCTCCACAATCTGTTCAAATTGCTTTTCTCTTTGAACAGGAATGGTTGGTAATTTACTCATACAAAATTTTGACGATTTAATTTTTTCAATTATTCTTTGCATTTTTTATAAATTTTAATTTTTTGAATTAAAAACACAATAAATCGAAATTTTAAATCGAGTAACGTACTATATTATTTACACTAAAACTAAATATCTAATAATTAGCCACCAAATACTGAAAACAATTGAAATTTCCATATTTTTGAATTTTTTTTGGAACTTTACATTTAATTTCCAAATGTCTCAAAATCCGAATATGATGGGCGGAATGAATCCAATGGGACATATGCCAAATGCCATTTCTACACCCAACCTTCAACAATTTCAAGGTCAGCAAATTCAGCAAGGAGCTATGATGCAACAAATGTCTCCACAAATGCCAACACAGATGCCTCCACAATACCCACAAATGGGTCAGCAGATACCACCACAAATCCAGCAGCAAATGCATCAACAGCAAGGAAATCAAGCTATTAATCAATTGAAATTACAGCAAATGCAACAGCAGCAACAACAGCAAAGACAGATGCAACAACAAATTCCTAATTCAGCAAGTACACCCCAGATGAATCCAAACATGTACAGAGGTCAAATACCTCCAAATATGATGCCAAGACCTCAAATGCCACCAACTCCACAGATGTATCCACAAAATCCTCCACCACAATACCCACAACCTGAGAAGCCTCCAAAGCAGAAAAAGGAAGAGCTAGACTTCAAACCATTTCCTACTGAAGCTTGGCTCAATAGCCAGAAAGAGTTAGACCTCAGAGCTATCACCAGGCTTATGGAGCGTGCAAATAAGACAGGAATGAATATCACATTCGACGAGGAATGCACAAGAGCGATAGTTCAAGCATTAAAGATTTATATGCAAAACTACTTACGATTACTTGTTGTATATTCTAAAAGACGTAGGAATGACCCTATTTACGGCGAAAAAACATATACAAATGTTCCATTATCAAAACTTGCTCTTCTTCAAGTAGAACGTGAGATAATAGACAACAGATACCAATTAAGAGATTCAGATCAATTACTTCCGTGCTTAAAATCCGATTTTATTCAAGCAATTGCCTCAAGAAAACCACCAGCAGAACGTGAAGACTTCATAAACAAATTCCACAACCAAGACAACGACCAAGTCATGACTCCAATACAACAGATTGAGAATTTACCAAAAATTACTCCGGAAAACCAGATTACGACTTCTGACGTCCTTTTCGCAGTGGAACAACTGAAATCCACGAGCTACCAGACACTTACAGACTTACAGTACCAAGTTGAGTTAATGAAGAGAGGAAATAGAAACTAATATATAGATATTTTTTGTTTTTGATAAATTTATTATATATTTAGATCATATGTAATAAGGGTTTCATTTTGCGAAAAAAACGTACAATACGCAATTTCGCTAAAAAAACATTTAGCTAGCAATCTCGACCTTTGACTCCACTCAAGACGTCACTTTTTTAATTTTGCGGTATCATATTTTTGGAAAATCTTTATGAATATTATATAAAAAGTCTCTTTAATATCTATATTTCATATTTTTATCGATTTTTAAAGTTTTTGCGAAAAGTATTCAATTATTTTTGCTATTTGGTCGGGTAAATGTCAGATTTGCGACATTTTCTGATATGATATTCAGATTCTACGTTGATAATAATGCTTATAGAACCCTCTTGCTATTGTGTCAAAATTGCGAAACCGATAGCAAAAATATCTCGCAATATCAAAATTGAGATATTGAGTGAATTATGCATTATAGAGATTAAAAATCTGATTTGTGAAAACATCTCATCAGTTTCTAGCTAATTCAAAAATCTTTACTATCTTATTCGATTAAAATGAAAAGGGAATAGTTTCATTATGCTTTAAATGACAGCCTTATAATATAATCATAGTTTTCGCTCAATATGCAGCATTTTTTTTCGAAATCTATGGTCAATATCCTAAATACTGATTGCTTTGCATTCATATCTCTTACATTTTCTATACCCACATCACTATTCATTGCTATTCCTATCTTTTTCATTTTTGTTTGTTTCTCATAATTTCTCAAAAAACATGATAACTTGATATTTGGAAATATCATACTTTATAACGTAAATAAGAACTTGACCTATTAAGAAAAGCAGTAATGAAAAGAAAATCTGAAATTCATAAAAATTACAAGTTTCTGATGACAATTAGCTTAATTAAACCAGGTACAAGATTATATAATTGTATTTTCTATCCAATTATCCATATAATATCTTATCCAGAAAAAATAACTTGATCAATACCAAATGATTTTTTAACTAGTAAATAAAGTATTTTCTTTACACACACATTGTATATCATAGTTTTTTTTTTTTTTTGGTTTCGCAAAACATCCAAAAACAAATATGCTATAAAAGTGACAATTTTAGCAAAACGAAACGGCAAACCCAAATTTTAGCTAAAAGTGACAGGGGAAAAAAACGTTTAGTATTAAAAAAAAAGACCGATGAGAGCTTCGTTCGAAATATAGAGGGAACTGAGAATGCGCAACCATTCTCAGGGAATATTGGATGCTATTCCCGTTCCCTCTGTATGGAAAATTGAGGTTTTCAAAGGGAGTTAAAATAATATCAAATTTATACTAATTTACTTCAAAATACAAAAGTATTTGACAGCTAAAATTAGTTACTTTAGCAAGCCTATCAATACCCTTTTACGATTATTGCTACTTTTTCGAAATAAAAGTAAAAACAAATTTATACTAATTTACTTCAAAATACAAAAGTATTTGACAGCTAAAATTAGTTACTTTAGCAAGCCTATCAATACCCTTTTACGATTATTGCTACTTTTTCGAAATAAAATAAATTTATTATCAAAAACCTTTTTTTTCTTAGTAAAAATAAACGAAATTTTTTACCTTATGAACTTTTAATGGAAATATGCAAATTTAAAATAATAAAGAAAGCCGCGAGCGAAGCGATCGGCTTAGTTCGAAGATTTTGATTCAAATCTTTGCTGATCTGTAATTCGCGGAAGCCGCGAGCGAATCGAGCGGCTTAGGTCTAAGATTTTGATTCAAATCTTTGCTTATATTCCTTAAATTCTTTATGAAACTCGCAACAGTTCCATAAAAAATTTTAAATTCTAAACTGTCGAAATTACCGATCGGTAATCACACCCTTCACGGGTGTGTCACTTTTAGCTAAAATTACCCCTACTCAAAACGAAACCCTTATATGTAAGAAATTTTAATAACAAAACTCTTTCTTAGTTGTTTTATCACAAACATTAAGCTCTTCGTTCATAAAAATTAGTAAATTTTTGATGATCTTAAGATATTCGTAGAAGAGGATAATTCTGTGAACTGTGACAACAAGAAGCAAAGCGCCGATAGAATTAAGACAGTGTATATATAGAGGACAACACGGTAACTTTTGACATTATGAATTTACAGTAAATTAGCATACTATATTTATAATTTTTATGGCTTAATTTACCATCTTTCGTTCAGAAATTTTAATCATATTTTAAGTAAACATATATTAGTATTCTTCACTATTTGTTTGGCGCTTTGCGCCAACCAAATAGTAAAAAATTCAATTTTTCAAAAAATTTATTATTTAATTATCATCAAAACTCACGGAAAACTTAATGTTTGGATATTACAATACATTCAGAATCAGAATTCATCACATATCCTTTTCCGAACAAATGAGGATATAATTTTCGAAAAACTTCAGAGAGTTTGAATTAGATCATATCATATAATTAATATATATATATTTATTTGGCAGAAGGTGGCCTGCTTGCCCTTCGGGCAAGCAGGCCACCTGAGGTCCGAAATCATATTTGATCAAATTTGATTTTTTTGGCCTAAAGGAATGTAGTAAATATATATCTTCACACTATAGATCACCAAACTTAATTCAACTCAATCGGACAAAAAAAAACCTTAATATGCTTGTCAAAATGAGTGCGGGACTATTTGCAAAAAGGTGACACCTAAAAAGGATAGAAAATTATCAAATATGAAATGAAAAACATTATATTCAATGGATTCTTTGGTCTAGTGGCTATAGATTGTTTAAAGGGTATCTGTGCATCTAGGTTTTATTCTTATCAGGTTTATTTTTTTCTTTTTTAAAATTTGAATATGAAAAATAAAATTATATTTTTTTTCTTTTTACAACTGAATAAAACAATATATATCACTGTAAGTAGTACATTCTTAATGTATGGCTTGTTATGCTTTCCATTATATAGTTTTTAGACAGAACTTCCACTAAATAATTTCAATAATTCGGCCGAAGTTTTGTATTTAAACAAAAGATAAGAGCAGAATAAGATAACAGAATCATTTTATGCTGTCTTTTGCTTCCATTATCCTTGCTTTGTCGTTGAATCTTGTGCCAATTGTTGTATTTACACAAGAGATAACGACATAGTAAGGAAAAGTAGAGAGTAAAGACACGAATTACGGTCCAAGATAATATCTTGGACCAACCATAGGCTAATACTCTCTCAATTTGGCGATTTGAGTTGGAAATTTAGATTCCAACTCAAGCCAACGAATTGAGTAGAGCACTACTGCATGGTTTCTGCTCTTAATATCTCATATATTATCCCTCTTTCTAGAGATAGAGGGATAATATATGAAATACAGCAAGCAGTATGAACCCTGGTAGGGTTGTTAGATTCCCGACGATAGGTGTCTTGGAAGATTTGCCTGGTGTCATCATAGTGTCTTTCAATCAAAAATTTTATTTTGGAGTTAGTTTTATTGATTTTTCAATAAAAAACATTTCTAAAACAAGAAAATAAAACGATAAAATATTTATATTTTATATAAGGATCTTATATATTTAAAATAAATATCATTTTATTTTTTTCATTGGTGTCTGTCAAACCATAATACACTATTCAAAAATTCAATGTGTCTTGCGGTTTCAAAAGACACCTTCAAATTGAACGATAGCACAGACACTATTGAATTTTACCCATTGTATTTAGTTTTTACCCTTTTATTTTTAAGAATTAATGACTGAAACAGCCGTTTTGCTATGACCTCAATCACTTTTATTTATTATTTTAAATATTATTTAATTTTATTATTTGAATAGGCCAACTTATATTTGAGAAGCTCAATTTGAGACCACTTAATACATTGAAATATCATAAATATTGAAATATTAAAAAGTGTATTTCAAAATATTGAAATTATAAAAATTTATAATACTGAAATTGAGACAAATTAATAAATTCAATGTGTTTTTTTTTGAAATAACTCTCAAATATTATTTTTTTGTTTATTTAATGATGAATAAATATGATAGCTTTAGTCAATCATAAAAACTAATTTAAGTTTAAAATAAAGAAAGGATAATTTGATCGTTTTTTAAAATACAATTATTTTTGATGATTTGCAAGAATCTTTGAAAAGAATATAATATAGGTTCTATTTTTGTAAAATTTATCCAAATCATGTATTACATAAATTACGATTAAAACGATGAAAGAACCAAAAAGTGTGTTTTGTGTTTTGTTGTTGCGTGTTGGATGCGGGATCCTGTTATTTCCGAAATCGACAAAAAATTTGGAAATTTAATTTCCGAAATCGAAATTATATTAATGTTTTTAATATTCTTATATCAAAAGGATTAAAGTTCATTAAGAGAAAAACAATTCTTATTCTTCAATCTATTGGCGCATTTATTTCTACACGCCAATAAGGAAGGGAAAATTATAAGACACCATGGTGTCTTCAAAACGCTAATTTTTGATATTTTTAACAACCCTAAACCCTGGTGTAGTTGTCACTTTTTTGCAAATAGTCCGGGATTGTACGCCACTTTTCATGCCTTCAACAATAAAATCTTTACGATTATGAACTAAATGCTTTCCCGTCAAATATTGAGAGATTTTGCATGAATGAAAAATGTGAAATAGAGGAAGTAAAATTGAGAGAGAAAAGGGAAGTATGTTTTTTTTGTGAAAAATTCGTGTTGATTTCTATTTTAGTCTCAAATCATTATCATAAACCAAGGCGAAAGAAAAATGTGTGTCTGAGTGATTCATTATGATTACGTTTTTATTACTAACTTACAAAGATATTGACAAAAATTGTTATTCAAGTGACGGAAAAAACCTTACAAAAGTTAACGATACATCACATGACCTCAGAATATCATCTACATGCGAAATCATCCAAGATAAATGCTTTTTCCGGCTTGACACTTTAGTTTCCTTCTCATTTGAAGAAAATCCTAACTTAACAACAATTGGAAGTTATAGTTTTCAAGAATGTAGATATCTTACTATTATAAATCTATCATCGTGCACTAAACTTACAAAAATATCTTCTTATGCATTTAGTCGCTGCGGTAGTGTCACTCAGATACTTTTACCAGAAGGACTCCTTGAAATAGGAAACAATGCATTTCAAGGTAATTATCAAGTGACCAGTATTAACATACCTGCATCAGTTAAAATAATAGGTAGACAAGCATTTTCTGGCTGTGATAAACTACAAAATGTTACTTTTGAAGAAGGATCAAATTTAACTTCATTAGAAGATAAAGTATTTACTCAAGCTGCAATTACTTCGTTTCAAATTCCAGAAAAAGTTTCTAAAATTCATGGAGAAGCATTTTCAGATGGAAAATTAACAAATATTTTGGTTCATCCTAGTAGTAACTACTTAACAGTTAAAGATTATGTTATTTATTCGAAAAATAAAAGTATTGTATTTTTTATTTGTAACAAAACAGGATATGAAATTCCAGATACAGTTACAACTATTAGAGAGGAATGCTTTTATTTTTCATCTATTAAAACAATTATTGTTCCAGCAAATGTGAAAAGAATTGAAGGTACTGCTTTCTTTGGTTGTAATAATTTGATAAATGTTACTTTTTTAGGTCCAATAGATTACTTTGGTATGCAGGCATTTGATTTTTGTAGAAATCTTGAACTAATTATATTCCCTAATTCAACAATGACTGTTGGCGGATCTAGTTTTGTTACAAATTCTATGCCAAAAGTCAGTTTGTCATTCACTTGCAAAACTCTATTTTCTTCAATATCAATTAGAAGAAATACAAATGTTTCAATTTCATATCTAAATAAACCAAATCTTATTATTACACCATATTGCTTGATTATGGATTTTAATCAAACCGTAATTTATGAATATTGGGGATACGACTCTGGTAATATTGAAATTCCTAAAAATGTTACAAAAATAGAAGATAAAGCATTTGAAAATTCTAAAATTCTGTATTTTAATTTCACAGAAGATTCTCAAATCACTTATATAGGAAAAGATGCATTTAGAAATTGTTCAAATCTAATATCATTTCGTTATTCATTTCCTAAATTACAAACATTAGGAATGTCATCATTTAAAGATTGCATTAATTTAGAAAATTTTACATTTTCATCACCAACTTTGATTATAATGACTAATGCATTTGAGAATTGCATTAAATTAAAGAATGTTAATAATATTTTAAATATTCCTAATTATTGTTTTTATGGATGTACTAAATTAGTAGAAGTTACAATTCGAGAAGGATCAGAATCCATTGGATATAAATCATTTGAGAATTGTTCTTCATTATTATGTATTAAAATTCCACAATCTTTTAAAATTATTTCCAAATATTCATTTCTACATTGTAAGAAATTAAAATCAATTATATTCAGTGAAACAAACTCACTTGATAGTTTTTCAATTAATTCTATTTCAGAATGCAAATCTCTTACAAATATCAGTAATTTTTCATCAGATAAATACAGATGTATTGATAATACTTTATACTACAAAAACAATACTAAATGGGAACTTATTTTTCATTTGAGTGAATCAAAAGACAAAGAACTCAACATTAACTGCAGTGTTATCTGTAGTTATTCATTCAATTCGAGTAACAACATTGAGAAAATCAATATTGAATCAGATAGTGTTTCTGTTATTGAAGATCATTCATTCAACAAATGTCTTAATCTGAAATACATCAATTTCCCACTTTCAGTTTCAGATGTTGAGATTGATGCATTCCATGATTGCAAATCCATTCGATGTCCTCTTATTATTGAGAACACATCCACAGATTATCTTAAAATGATTGTTTCTTCCGGAATTCCACGAAGACTTATGGTTTCATGTCATATTGCACATGTTTCGAAGAATTATTTAAATCATAAATATTTACGTTATCCTTCTACACATCTTTTCTGGAAACATCTTACTAAATAAAACTATTTTTTTATCATAATTAGTTTTCCACTGGAGATAACTATTATTTAATTATGAAATTGCGCAAAAGATCTCAAATATTCCCATCTCTCAACTTGAAATGAATACATATAAGCAAATCTGTTTAAAAATAATAAACTTTATTTTATATTTTTCTGTGAACCGTTTATTACCGAATATAATAAACATAAATGATATATAAAGGTAAAAATATAATTTAATATACTTACACTCGTTTTGATGTTATAATACATTGTAATGCTAATTTTATCCGTAAATACAATGTGATATATATCAGAATTTTCCTAATTATGATACAAAGATAAGTTAATTATAACAAAACACAACTTTTAATCTACACAAAAATAAAAAATAAAGTTAATTACCATAAATCATTGTTTGCATTTCCATCATCAAAACCAGCAGATGGGAATTCAATATCCAACTCACTTTCTTCTTCACTTCCAAATCCACCCAATGGATCAATAGGTTTGACAGAAGGAGGAGGAGATTCTTTTGGCACTTTTGGAGCTGTTTTAACTGGTTGAATCGGAAGAGTTTCTGAAGCTGGTTTGAAATCACTCGCAGCTCTTGTGTCTGAACTTCCAGTGACTGCAGCAGAGTTTTTCTTTGGATCAATGTTCATTTTGTCGAATGCTGATGATGGTATTTCTTGGTTTTGAGTTACTAATGTACCAATATCGTCATCATCTTCCTCTGAATCTGAGCTTGGACCGAAATTTACGTCACTAATTTTATTATTACTCTGGTTTGCAGGAGGAGAGTCAACAGAAGGGATTTGAGAGTCATTAGGTGTCATTGGTTTCTTCTGTTTATTGGATGGGGAGTTTCCACGTGGAGATCCGATTGGAGATTGCTGTAATTGCTCGATTTCTTGATTAAATCCATTAACATTAGGTACAAATTGCGGAGTATTTGATGTTGAAGATGTTTTCGGTGATGTTGGAACAGGAGAAGATATAGAAGATGGTGGATTTGGTGAAGGCTTTGGAATTGTAGTATATTGTGGTACTTGAATAGGTATAAATTGATATGTTTGTTGTGGAATTGTTTGTGTTGGTGGCGGAGGTGCAGGAGCTGTTGATGGAATATAAAATTCAACGGGTTTTCGACAAAATTCAAAAACTCGTCGTGTTTCTTCTTCAAGTTTCTTACCTTCTTCCTCTAGTTGCTCAAATAGTTGCCTTGAACGACTTAAAGGGCGGGTATTTGTAGTAACGTAATTTTGAGGTGAAACTGGAGGAGAATAGTTGATTTCTTCTAAATCTTGCTCCATTTTATGTATTCTTTCGGAGAATTGTTGGAAAATTTCCGCTCCTTTTTGCTTTTCCAATTGTAATAACTTCTTTAGCTCGTGATTTTCTTTCTGAAGCGCATTTAATTCATCTTTGTATTCTGAATATTGCCTGATTACATGCTCTTGAAGTTTTAAGTTTGACTTTTGTAACTCAACGAATTCTTTTGTTGACATCACAAATTTGAGCTTTTCCTCGCAATCATAAATAATCTATTTGAAGCATTGATTCATAAAAATAATATAATGCATGAATAAAATTATTCGTTGCCACTTTTTATTTTTCAATTTGTATAAATTTGTAGAGTAACTGTGCGATGAATTAAAATACTCACTACAAGATAATTACTATATGCTTGGTACTGGCATAAGAGGTGATAAGCATAATGCTGACCCAAATCTGCTTTGTGAGAATTTAATTATTCCTTATAAGAAAGATGGTATTCTTATAAAACAAGTTGGCGATTCTGCCTTTAGATATCATACTCGCCTAAAAACTCTTTACATTCCTAATACTATAGAATATCTCGGCTATGATTGTTTCGGCTATATTCCATCTTTGGAAAGCACTATTTTTGAAGAAAGATCCAATACAGCTCTCATATTCGGACAAGGCATATTTGCTGGATTTAATATAAAGATAGTTAGACTTCCTAGCATAATATTATCTGTAGATCCTCATGTTTTTGGTTGGTCAAATATTGAGAAAATTATTTATTGCGGGATGGATTTTGTGAATGCAAGTTGGTTTTCTGATATTCGACCTCCTTTGATTTATGCCCATTCCCTTTATCCATATGATAGCTTTGGTCGAGATTCGAATTTGACATTTACAAATGAGTGTGGAGTATATATGAAGAGTGTTTATTATTCAATGCCTCATATGTCTTGTTTATTCATTAGAATTCCATTTTCAATGCAGCTTATTATTTTTCTCAGCTAATAATACTAAAAGATCAATGCTCACATAGTTTCTCATCTTTATGCCTAAGGCATGAACAATCACATTCAGAATCTGTTAAGAATTATAATGCATAACTATTTATTAAGATCAAACAGAAGTTTAATAGTCAACAATCTATTGCTTATTGTAAGTAAATGCTTTTTCATTGTATATAAGAGCATGAGATGATCATCATTCATATTGACCCGATAATAATATTCAATTGAGATTTTTAAATGGTCGGCCAAAATCCATAATTTTTTTATTCAATAATGAATATATCTAACTAACCATGTGTGATAATTTAGTGTACACCCTAAAAGATACCTATTATATGCTAGGTACTGGCGAATTAGGTAAAGCTTTAAATGCTGATCCAACTAAACTTTGTGTAAATTTAAGAATTCCTTATAGCTTTAATCAGATTCCTATCACACACGTTGGTGATAGTGCATTTACTTATCATCCTCGCCTAAAAACCATTTATTTCCCTAGTACAATTATATATCTAGGATATGATTGCTTCGGATATATTCCGAATTTGGAAAGTGTTACTTTCGAAGAAAGAAATGATACTGCCCTTACATTTGGACAGGGCGTATTTGCAAAGACTAAAATGAAGATAATAAGACTCCCTAGCAAAATAGCATCATCAAGTTGGCATGTTTTTATGGAATCTAAAATTGAAAAAGTGATTTATTGCGGGATGGCAAAAATAAATGGAGTATGGTTTACAGGTTCCTCTGCTCCTATAATTTATGTCCATCCACTCTACCCATATGATAGTTTTGCAAATTACTCAAATCTTGTTTTTACTGATGAATGCGGAATATTCATGAAATGCTTTTTACCTTCGGCACGCCATGTTCCTATTTCATTTTTCAGGCTCTCTATGCCTTTACTTGTTATAATATTTGTCTAATAAAATATTTTAATTCATTGTGATAAAAATCATTTCGCATTAAGTTATACAGCTTCAAATTTACATTTTAAGAATGCCTTATTGTAAATATCTCTATTCTTTTTAGTTATCTATAGATATAATCATCCAATTATAGACATATTTAAAGAAATAATACTGGCAAAGTATATGTTCTTTCATAAAAAGTAGGTAAATATCAGGATTCATTTAAAATGTCAATTATCTCTTAAATTAGCAAGAAATCATATGAAAGACTATTATTGACATAATCTTCCTTTATTTGTCAGTGGATTCAGATAATATAGGGAGTTTTATGAAGATTTTTTTAATATTATTTTTCCAAATCTTTCTTTTTATGATCCATGCTTAAGATGTTAATATAAACTTAAAAATATACTGTAATGTACCTATTCATTTCCTTGTTAAATCTTAAGGTTTGCATATCTTTTTTTGATATAATCTTAAAATTGCTCATATCCAGCTAAAACCTATTGTATGACATCTTACATTGTTTTTATCGTACCAGAGGATTTACTTCCCTCATTGTTAGTCTCTATTTCTGTAAGTTATGTAATATAAAATCTGTCACTTTTGCGATATGACGCAACCTGGCTTTCAAATTCCAACATCGCAATTAATAACAGAACAACCCAAGCAAGAGAACTTACAACTTATAGAGAGAAAGCGTCGTTTATTAACAGAGCTCGCAGCACTTGAAATGGGATTTTCTTATTTTGATTACTTAGATCCTTCAAGAAATTCATTACCAAGTAGTGCAACAGATGTTCCATGCTCAGTTGAATTACTTTCTGCACCAAAAATCGAACGAAAATATTTGGATAACATCGCATCATCAAAAGCATTAGCTGATTTAATTACAGACATAGCTCATAACCCATCTCCATTACCATACATTGGTTCTCGAACTTCTCCAATCTGTAATGATATTGTGAAGCACGCAAATGGCTTCTTTGCTCAATATGAAGCATCAAGAGAACAAAGAGCAGGCATTCTTACAGCATTTTGTATCATTCCGCGCAAAACTAAACAAGAAACTACAACAAAAACTTCAGAATTGCAAGAAAAGCCTATGGAAGAAGATCCATCAAAGAGAGTACATCCGTTCTTCCCAGATGTTCGTGATGTAAAGCCACTGCTCGGCTTAATCAAGGAACAACTTGGAGAATTTCCAAACTTTATCAAAGATCCACCTACAGATGCGGAATGCGAAGAAAATCTATGGGTGATGGGTGAAAATGAAATTCACGATCATTTATTCAAGATTTGCGGCTCTTCAAGCGATGACGACTTCGATCCTGATGAACAACTAATGAGGATGACTCCATTGCAACCAGTTCAACCAATACAACAGATGCAAGTCCAAAATGCGGCGTATATGAACCAAAATAGATAAATTTTGTATATTATTTTTTGTTTTGTTCTGTTTTTCATAAAATTCAATTGTTTATATGGAAATCTTCCTATTTGTTAAACCATAACTATATAATATTGTATGATAATTCTATTCAATATTTGCTAGAAACGAAATGTCTTAGTTATACAATATGGAGTATGCTTTAATTCAAAATGATATGTACTGATTTCATTTCACATTCAAAAATGACATCAGTCAATTGCATATTAAATTAATTGGTTCCCAGAGTATCATATTTAAGAGAGAGTTTTTTGCCTACAGCAAGATTCTATGTTGAAAGATCTGTTTTTGTAGGTCTATATGGCACTCAGCGTGGAGGCGCAATTAGAATTGAGATTGAAATCGATCAAACTGTTGTCAATTGTCTTTTTGTAAAATGTTCATGCTCAGAGCATGGTGGAGCTGCCTTTTTCTTAAAAGGTAACCTATATTTAAATAAAAATTGCTTTATCCAAAATTCTGCATCAAGAACAGCAGATGTTATAGGATCGCAATGCACAATTCTTAACTATTCTTTAATTTCGTGTACTCAGGCTCAGCAAATTGAGCATGCACTTTGGGCTGGGTCATTTCAATACTTTTCGTTTAAAAACATAAATTCTACGTATAGTGTTACAACTTCAAATGCATATACATCTGGGGCATTCTTTACTTTTAGCGTTCCAGCAAATAATATTTTAAGATATTTTCAAAGCTCAAATAGTTCGGGAAGTTCAGCAATATTTATGTCAGAAAGCAGCAGCCCGCCTAATGCTGAGTTCGGAAATCTTTTGTATGATTCTTCTTCAACTGCAATTTTTGGAAGTTTTAGATTATCCACTAGTATTTCGAATTTCCACCACATTTTCGTCTTTGGAAATAAAAAGATTGTAACTGGTTATGCAAACTATCATTCATCATCGACTTTATGTGCCACTGATTGCACTTTTGATCTTCCTGAAACATTTTTTAGATCGATGCAAACAAATAATTGTGTTTTTAGCAATAAAGTCGAGAACAATATGATGTCTTTACAAACCCGGGTTATATGTGAAGAATTGATAGCAAGTTCATTATGCAAATCGAGCTGCTTGAATAATATTAACTTTTTTTGTTTAAATAACTTATTCAACTTTGGGTGCTATATAATACTCATAGGCTAATTAAAAGTGCCAATTTCTGCATATAAGAATAAAGAAATAAAATATAATATTTTCAATTTTTAGTCTTATCAAATCCAAATTGCAGCAGATGATGGCGTTTGACAAAATTCAGAAATTTGTATAGGGTAATCCATACAAGCTATATGCATTTATTTGATATATCTTAATTATATTCAAATGAATTATGTGAAGGGTGCAAATGAACCTTAAAATAATAATTACATAAACTTACATATCACATTAAAAGTACAATTAATTTGGCAAAATTCTAATTTTTATCATTTTTGATTAATTCAAGGCATTAAAGATAAACAAATAATATGAAATTTTATTCTGCAGCATTAATTGCTGTATTGACAAGGAAATCAACAATTTCAAGACTTTCGATCGAATTAAATTTAACAAGAACTGGCATTGGCTTTTCAAGCTGGTTAACATGCCCAAGGAACTGGAAGAAACAGTTCGCTAGCATTTGCGGGCGAAGTTCTTTCGTAATCCACTGATTAATTGAGATAATCTTTGATGGACCACGTCTCATTACAATTCTGTAACGGTTCTGAGAATAATCGATATGAAATTCACCTGCACCAAGGAAAAGCCATTGATCTTTTGAAATAATATAGAGTTTTGCTTCTTCATTAAATAAAATCTCTTCTTCGCTTTCTCCACTCTTTGTTTCAAGTACAAATGATGGAAATTCAGTGAAAGTATCCTCTCCTGCTTCGCCATCCTGATGATTATCTTCAGAACTTTCATCTTGGGCCTTTAAAGAAACTGGATCTTCATTATTAATGTCAATATTGGTATTTGTTTCATTAATAAGGTTTTGAAGCTGGCTTAAAATCATATCGCGTTTTGAATCAAATTGTATAGTAATTGGGAATCCTTTTTTAGTGCTTGATGTAATATTCATCATTTTGATTGTATCTTCGCCAACTGGTTCGGGATTAATTTGCCTGTAAGCAATCATATTGATAAGTAAAGCTGAGAGCTGGATATTTTTAGGAGTCATGTATATAATTCCATCTTTTGTAGCATTGAAAACTCCGCGAATGCCTTCTTTCTCGACATCTGAGTAGTATGTCGCTGGAACATCGATCAGCATTCTACTTGTTGCTTTAAGTTGATCAATAATTTTGTTTAATGAATCTACGAAGCTATCACGAGATGCAGTATCTGCAAAAGTAAGGACGTAAGGTGCCTTAACACCGGCTTGAAAAGCAAAAACGCGTACGGAGCGTTGATGAAGTGGCAAAGGTTCTGTCCACTCCAAGATACAAACCCAGATGAGTTTTTTAATCTTAAAAATGTTATTTTGGAATTCGATTTTATCACATCCGATGTTTTGCCAATATGTGTTGTTTTCTGCATTGTACCTGTAATTAGAAACATATGTTTTGCCTTCTACTGGCTGTAAATTTTCTTCGTTTTGGAGTGTGAATTCTACATACGTTTGCTCAGTCATTTTGACTAAAAATCACTCCGTGTAATATAGATTAATCCTTTCAAAATTGAATAGACAACGGAACAATTTTTAAATATTCGAAATTCATATTTAAATAGAGTGAACGATCGACAATAATTTTCACCAGTATGATTGCAATTGAAAGAGTGTGATTAAAAGTGTCAGAAAAATAAGGTATACAGAAAATGAGTAAAAATAAAGTCAATTATATCCCCAGAATCATCTTTGTAGGCGATTCGGGAGTTGGAAAAACATCGATAATCAACTATGCTAAAACAGGAAAGTACGAGGCTAATTCTGTTCCAACAATCGGAGCAGGAACTACTACAATGAGCTATAGAAGCAACGGAAAATTGATAGAATATCAATTATGGGATACAGCGGGACAAGAAATTTACCGCAATATTGTTCCTATTTACTTTCGTGGAGCTGTTGGAGCCATTATTACTTTTTCAATGACAGATCCAACGAGTTTTCAAAATATTCAAGAATGGATTGATAGCTTAGTTGCACACGCTGATCCAGACGTCAAATACTTGCTTGTTGGTAATAAAATTGATGTTCATGAGCTCAAAGTAAGCGAAGAAGATGTCAAAAATTGGGCTGAATCACGAATATTGAAGTGTTCTTTACTTCTGCAGTTACGGGGCAATCCATTGATTTATTAATAGATTATATTGTAAATTATATAGTAGTACCATCATTATCTGTAGCCAAATCTGATACAATGTTAATGAATGAAAAGAAGAAGAAATGCTGTTAGAATCGAAGCATTTTATTCAAAATTATTATTTCATATCTTTACGAACATTCTATTTATTTATTATATCTTTTTAGGGTATTATTTCTTGTTATTTCACATTTGAATTTTATTATGTTAAATATTGACCACTTTTTTCCTCCAAATTACGTGCAAATAAATATATCTTTTCATTTTCTAGTAGATGATAACGAATTAATGTCATTCCTTTTTGCTCAGAGTAGATAATTTTGAATTGTTTCAATTTTTTGTTTTTGAAAGCAAATTGATCTCAGCATTGGAGAATCTGCGATATTGATTCTCATTGAACACCAATAAATATTACTTGCCATTGAACTCGGTTAAAATTAAAAAAAGGTAAGAATAATTAAACGCAAATAACCATTTAGATGAATAAACAATAACAAACAAACAAAAAGACAGCTTCAATATGAAATTCTGTTAAAAGCATCAAACTCTTCAGTGAATTGGAAATCAAATAAAGGAGGTTCAAATGCTGTGATCACTTCAGTTATTTCTTCGGGGGAATGAGCTTCAGAAACTTCAGATGATGGAGGCGGAGAAGGAAGATTGACCTTGTTTTTGAGGTATATGTACCATCTGTTCTTTATGTTGCCATCACTCCTTCCGCGTAATATCTTGGAGAATTCTGCCCACTTTGAACCTCTTGTTGTGTATAACTGAATAAGAAGATTATCTTCTTCTGGAGTCCATGCAAGATTAGTAATGTTTGGATTAAGATATTCGCGATATCTTTCTCTGCATTGCTTGCATGTTCTTGTTTCCATTAACTTGGAAATGATTGCCCATTTCTCTCCAAAGAATTGAACATATGAAATAAGCTTCTGATCTTCTTCTGGGGTAAACTTCCTTCGGCGTTTTTGACGTTCGGAGGCGACTTGGGAATCAGTTGTCATTGAAGATATATGATATGAAACGTGAATAATTCAATTTTAGACGACTTGTGACATGTTAATATTGCTGACTTTGTTTTACATTCTATTAATTTTTTCGGTTTTGGAACGGATTTGAATGTAACATGTCATTATTGCCATTTATGTCAATTTTGTATTTTATGGGCAGTTATTATTTATCAATGAATTATATTTTGATAAATAATATGCGCAGAAACATGAATTATAAATAAATCAAATAACAAATACCTATATAAATGAGAAACCGTATCACTTATTCAATTTTGTCAATATGTTATATTTTTGAGAAGTATCTTTCAAATATCTTTCCTCACAAAATTGTCCCTAATAAATATTTTATTTAGATATTATACCACATTAACAACTTTAATAAATAATATATCGATTAACAATTTCAGTTTTGAGAATACGTCAAATATTTCAATTTGTCAAAATCCAATTCATCAATTTAAGTTAAATCATTAAATATTATCATCTTTGAATTGTAATACTGATCAAATGTCAGATTTCTGATTCTACATTCAAAATAATATCAAATATAACGCTAATCGATAATTATTATACTGTTCTCCATAATGAGAAATTCATCCGATAAATTGATATTTCCCATTTTCACAAGATATTCGCTTCCAATTTTGGTTGAAGTACTACAACTTATATCAATCCTAACTCAGCTCATTAGGGAAATACAGATTATTACAACTGTGCTTGATTTATTCATCACCAAACTTCAATTTCATTTTTTTTCTACATTTATTAGATTTAGAATCAGTTAGCTATGCCTGTTAGTTTTTTATGCTATAAATTCAGCGAGGCTGAAAATAGGACATCGCATTTCTGCTACATTTTGATAAAAGTCCCTTTCATTTTTTGCGGAAGTTACGGGCGTTTAGACCCCCATTCAATTATTCTTTATCAGGAAACATCGTTTGAATATTTATGCAACCATTCATGCTTAGGCTTGTATTTATTTTTTCCTAATTTTAATTGTTGCTTCATCTTTCTACATTGTTGCCATATTCAATCATAAAAACTCTTATTTTGAAATGATTGAGGATTACATTTATGGATCATGAAATAATTTTTATCAATCAATTATTGGACTAACTCTTTTCGGCTAATATTATCATTCTATTTTACCATTTTAGCAATCGATTCAAATATGACATAGCGACATTTTAATCCTCTCATTCGAATTTGATAGTTCATACGCTGTTGTGGCTAATGATTTCATGATGAACAAAATCTCATCATTTTATACAAACTTCTAACGGGAGTTGCATGACTCTGACTGCAAGTAAAACATTGTTGTATATAATATTTCGTCAGAGCGGGGTTAAAACATAAGGATTTTTGAGATAATAGCTCTAAAAAAAGCTGATTTCGAATATTTTTCTACCGTCTCACATTTCATTTCAATTCAATTTTTGATATATTCGGTTTTCAATGGATCATTTTTTTATTTGAAAAATTATCTATAATACTATCACCTCTTTTATATAAATTTCTGATTACTCTAATCTTAGTGTCACTTTTCACTCAAATAATTAGCATTTTTTAATGTTTTCTTCCCTTGAATCCATCATTCAAAAGATAGAAGGTGCAGATTTAATGGAAGTTTGGGTTAAATACTTTACAGATTCTTCACCGTTTCCTAAAGATTTTTTCACAATTTTTCCGAGTCTCGCGGATGTTCACGGATTTTTTGGATCTTTCAAGGAATTTGAGACAAAGGCAATTAAAAAAGCCATCTCGAATATTACGGATAAGAATCAATTGTTTGAAATTCTTGCGGTAAAATTTAAATTAGCAGATCCTATCAACCCTGAAGCATTCAAAGTATTTTCACGAATAAATAATCTTCCCACTACAAAAAATGCTAAAAAATCAATAATTTATCTGTTTGAATATTGTATTAGAACGTTAATACAATTTACATATCAATTACCAAGTATTCTGACAATAGTTATCGAAGACAATAAACCAGTACCTGAAAGCTTAGTCTGTCTTCACAAAATTGTTTTTTTTTTCTCATTATTCGAATCCGAGTACTTTCTTGACTTCCATTTAGTTCTAAGGGGTCTATTATCTCATCTTTCATTTAGATTCGATCAAATCATTACGAATTCGAATCTGGCGGTTCAAGATGCTTGTTTAACCCTAATGGGATCATTAGTAAGCGTTTCAAGGGTTTATGTGTCGATAAAACCAGAAACTGAGTCTCTTTGCGTCAAATTCATTACAGAACAACTCGAAAAAATTCAAGTTTTAATTTCCGCAAATGTCATGTCTAAATCGCTCGCTATTACAATAAGATCAACCATTTCATCTTTAGTGCCAGGAATGGTGAATCTTATACCTTCACAACGAAAACAACTTGGAGAACTCGCGATCACTTTAATTGCGCCAATTCTACATTTAAACTCCATCGATTCTACAGAGAAATACCAAACAGGAATAATTTGTCTTAAGTTATTCCACGAATACTGCAAATTTGACTCAGTAAATTTACCGAAATATTTATTTACTTCTTTAATTGAGTTTATCAACTGGCTTATTGTTTCTTCAGATATAGGTATACTAGAAGAGAACTACAATCTACCAGAAAAGATTCCAGAACCGGAAACTCTCGGAAAATTATCAAGAGAAGACTATTTCGCGGAAGATAATACTCTTAAAGAAGGGAAATCGATAATTCTGACCAAAAGACTGTCAGTCGTCGCTGACATTATTGTTTCGATCATCACTCACTTCAAAGACCCATCGCCATTCGTTTCTAACCTCATTAATTCGATCAAGGAGCAAGAGGAACTCATAGAACCAGCGTTATATAGGCCTTACGTCGCTTTCGTTTTGTATCTTTTGATGAAAATTCATGAAAGTATCGTTGTTGAGGCCATTAAAGATAACTGGCAATTGCTGTTATCCGAAAAACTATTTCCTTATGATACAACGATCAAATCTGATACAAATTTACAATACGCAGTTATGATTTTATCATATCGAGCTTTTATTAACTCGCCTGACTCCAGACAGACTATATTATCATGCCTGAGTAGATATTTTGAGACAAATGCTGAAGCTGGCGTTACATATTTTTGGAGATACTTAAATATGATGCTGATTGTTGCGAAATCAACACATTTCATTCCTAACATAGCAAATTCAAAGTTGATTCATAAAATAGTCCTCCTTTCCGCAACAAATTTGGGAGTTTTTAATTTCTTAAGAACCTGCATCTTTATTAAGCCAGCACCTTTACTAATGCGTCAGGATGTATTAGATTTCATGATAGAAAACTGCGAAAGAGAGAAATACATTGATTCCATCGCTTCATTGTATATGATCGGATTTTCTCTTCTCGATGAAGGCCAAAGCTCATGGCAAGTTGTTTCTGCACTCATGAAAAGCACAAGTAAACGACTTGCTTCTCTGGAAAACGTTAAAGTTTCGTTATCAATTGTAGATTTCGCTTTTGGCAAGGTCCAATCGTGGTCTCCAAAATTAGTTGACTCCATTGCATGCAAGAGATTCTGTGAAGCTGTTGCAAGTATCCCTGTAAACCACTTTTCCGTGGATAATTACATAAGAGTTCTAAAAAGCTTCACAAACGTCTCAAGAATGAATCCAAGCATGTTCTTCCTTATCACACAACCCGATATTACCATTTACGATAAGCTAAAGATCTTTCCAAAGGATGTAAAAGACGAAAACATCGAAAACATCATAAAATCGTTGTTTGAGTTCTCTTTTTCATCGAGAACTACGAAATCCAACGGCCACTACATCCGAAATTACAAAGTAATAGAGATAATTACGGAATGGGTCCGAGGAACGAATTTTGAGTCTTATGTCTTCAAAGAATTCAACAGATTGGCGATGAAATCAATCGGAAATATTTTTCAATTGAACAGAGCTCACATTCCTGAGTATATTTTGGAGAGATTGGAAGATATCGGAGATAATATCTCGGTTATCTCAGATTTACTTTCATTATTCACACAATTATGTATGTACGTATTCACTACAGCGATCCTGTATTCTGGAATTCGGCTAATGCGCTCTAAAAAGTTCCATTATCCGAATTTAATTTTATCTACTTTCTTTAGGTTACTTACTGATGAACAATTGCAAGGTCCGACATCATTCTTCCATTTTGACGGAACTGCAACTGGTATTTTCGATGCGGAAGTCGTAATAAATGACAAAGATTGTTTATATATGTCATTAAGAATCGATCAGAACTTTGATTCCCCTATACAGCCGATTCTATCCATCACAAACGATGTGGGAGAGAATTTAATTCTTTCTTTGCAGCAAAATCGACTTCAAGCTTCGATGTTGTTTCAAAAAGGAACGACGAAACAAGAAGGATCATGCTTTATCGAACATAACACATGGTTCTCGATAGCTATAGTCTTCACACAGAAGGTTATCACAGTATATTATAATAATAATCAAGATTTGACACTTTTGCCAATGTCACTTTTTAAGAAAAACAAAATTTTTATCGGAACAATGATAGATTCAATGCAATCGAATGGAATGATCGGAGATGTTGGTCCAGTTGTAATTATTAAGAATGGAGACCCGAATAAATTGTCAATGAAATTATCAGCGAATGATATCACAGATAAGTACGGAAATGACGTAACACTCAAAATAACTAGCCGTACTACACTGCAAAATACAGTTTTGAATGTAAGCGAACTGTCACAAAGTGTAAATTTCAGAGGTCAAGCGATTCCAAACGTTTCTACTATAGTTGATTCATTCATTGCTGTCTCAAGTATTCCAAACTTGCTTCCTTTGATACAAAGACTCCGCTATTGTGATAATTGCAAAGGATTTCATTCAGATTATTGCAATTTATGCGGAGGACTTGCTTCTGAGCACGGATCTGAGATGCTTATCACATTATTACAGGTAATTATCAGATTACTTCAGAAGTTCCCCAGTCTTTTGTCAACATTCAAATCAATTAAAGGGGAAAAGTTGATTTGCGGCTTTCTTCAGAACATAAACCAATCGTATTTAGATGATAGGAGTCTGAATACACTCGCAGATCTGTATAAAGTCTCAAAAGACCCTGAATTTAGTCAACAATTAATCGAAGAATTGTATTTATCCGTAGATTTCATTAAGACATTGCCACAAGACATGCAGGAATACTATTTTAAGACCGTTCTTATCAATATTTGGAACTACAACAAAGTTCCTTTCCAAAGTTTTCCGTCATTAGATTTTATGATCTGCAGAGCCATGAATTTGACGACATTTGACGTATATTGCTATAACCACATGTGGTCATTCATCCTTAAAATGGTCACTACTAACTTGGCTCCTGTATTTACAACAACAATTATCTCAATTATTTCAAAAATTTCGGATCGAAAAATTTTGTCACCTTTATTGGATTTATTTTTGGGATTGATCGATGATACGATGACTCAATCGTGTTCAAATACATTGGCGATCTTCGATTACTATTTACCTTTTGTTTATTGCTTGCAAATTCCGGATTCAAAAATTCAGAACAAAATTTTGCACATTATTGCAAGATTGAGGGTTTCTAACTCCAAATTAGAGCAATACATGTACATTGCTGCACTCACACAGGTAAAATCTGAAGATCCAGTGTTATTTGTCGAAACATTAAATTCAATGATGTTTTGGAACAACTGTCCTGAGATGTTACCACTATTTATCAAGTCTATGAAGGAAGTTCCCATTGACAAATCAATGGAAATTTACATAGATTTCGTAACTTTGATAAAATCACAGACAAATCCAGAAAAATCAATAATAAGACTTGCAAACTGGTATCATTTAGTTATGGATCTAAGTATGATATTCTCTCAGCCAAACAGTAGCTTAATTTCCATAATTGAGCCATTATTATATCTTATTGTCTTAACTTTGAAGAATAGGAACGGAAATGACTTGACAGAGCTCATGACATACCTGGATGTATTCGAAATGACCAATAATCTCAATGTTAGAGAGGCAAAAAAGATGATTTTCTTCCATATCCTCAAAAGCCCAGAACTTATGTCCAAAGCAAACCAAAACAGTCCAAATGGAAGCCTTTTCGAAGCAATTTTCCCAACAATTTTGGCAGAAATTTTCAAATTTATTTTTATCCACCAAAATTACGACAAAAAAGTAGATGCTTACAGCGTAGTTACCAAAGAAATCGCCAAGTTCGTACCTGAACAGAAGTATTTCCCTTCAATCGTTGATTTTGACATATTAATTGAAAATGGAAAATGGAAAGACCTTGATCTGGCCACAGAGCTTCTAACACAAATCAGCTACATGTTCAGTTTCGATATGAACATCTCCGATTCAATAACAATCAATTCTTTCCCAACAATCAGTTACATAATTTCTCTTGTTGCCAAATTTGATACAGAACTGTTCGTAAAATCGGTATATTCACTTCTCGACCTCTATCCAAAGATCGGATACGATGAAGCATACGAGAGTTCAAACATAATACTGCATACAATAAATAAAAACAAAATAAAATTTGACAAAATTGAAAAATTGAATAGTTTTGTCACTTTTTATACCGATGATGAAGATTCACCCGAACTGCAGTATTTTATGTTTGAAGACAAGTTTACATATGACATGGCTCTTCTTCAAAGTGAGATTGTCATGCAGCAATCGAGTTTGATCAAAACAATGAGTTCCAAATTAGAAAAAATCCTGAAAATTGAAGATCTTTCGAAATTAAAGGACAAAGAAGATTTGCCATTGATAGAGAGGATCTTTAGACTCAACAATGGACAAGTATTAGCATTAATCAGTGGAGCTTACGACAGAATTGTTCTTAGACAAAAGAATTTGGATGTAAATAGTCATTTGAGTCTTTCCAAGTATTTGAGTTCTTTCATGAGAGAACTTTCTATTTCTGGAGGACCATGGACAAACAAGATGCCTGCAAACCATTACAAAATGTCTTGTTATCTCTCCAATTCCGGACAAAAAGTCATTCTAAAGTTAAACAACAAATTTGACGACCACAAAAAAGCGTCAGAATTAAGAGATCAAGGAGAATCTACGTCGGAAATCAGTATCCTTCCAAGATTTAAGCAGATGACAGCGTCAGTTAATGTTAACAGATTGGATGGTTACCATTGCCAAGTACAAATGATTTCTTTGAGTTCTTTTTCAAGTGGTGAAATATTTTACTCGAAAAATTTATTGACTTTTATAACAAAAACTCCTGAAAACCAGAAATTCATTGAAATCAACTTATCTGATATAGAGTTTATAATGAATAGGAAGCAGAGTCACCAGGAAATAGCATGCGAGATATTCATGAATACCAATAGATCGTATTATTTCATTTTCGCAAACCAAGATGAAAAATCTCAAATTTTGAAATTAATTCAAAATGACTTCACTTTTACGAAAAGTGACAATCTTGATCCATCAAAATTCCATTTCTTCTATGAACTGAGGAAGATAAATAACTCTATTGTCCAAGTTTTGCCAGCATCAGAAATTTGTGAAAAACTGAAATTGTCAGAATTATGGCAAAAATACAAATTCTCGAATTTCGAGTATCTTTTTTATCTCAATTTATTAAGTGGCCGCTCATTTAATGACTTGTCGCAGTACCCTGTCTATCCATGGGTCATAAAAGACTACGAATCCGAGAAAATTTCTCTTGCAAACGAGAAATTTTTCAGAGATTTGTCAAAACCAATAGGAGCTTTGAATTCTAAACGAATTAAAGATTTGACAGAGCTTTATAAAGACTTCCCGATCGAAGAAGAGAAATGTCTGTACAGATCTTTCTATTCGACAATGGCTTCTGTCTCTTCTTTCATGATAAGAACCGAACCTTTCACTTCATCTCACATTCAATTACAAGAAGGACGGTTTGACGTGGCCGGACGATTATTCCATTCAATTTTAATGGAGTGGAAAGCAGTAACATCCGAGGAGAATGATTTCAGAGAGTTGATCCCTGAGTTCTTTTGCTTCCCTGACTTTTTGACTAATGATAATAAATTCGATTTGGGTCAAAGAATGAAAAGTGACGGTTCCTTTGAAAAAGTGGATGATGTCATATTACCAAAATGGTGTAAAACAACTAGACAGTTTATATTTACTAATAGAGAAGCCCTCGAATCAGATTATGTCTCCCAAAACTTGAATAATTGGATTGATTTAATTTTCGGAGTTTACAGAAATTCCTTTGAGAAACAAAATGTTTTTCATCCGCTTTGTTACCCAGAAAATAATTCACAAGTCAATGATAGACTTAGAAATCATTGTTTGAACTTCGGTGTTTGTCCAGACCAACTTTTCTTCGAAAATCATCCAAAAAGAAATCAAAAAATTGAAAATTTGACAGACGTCACTTTTACAAACAGTTTTGACACTCCGATTACATGTATTATGAAGAATTTCATTTTCTTGCAAGGCAATCTTTATATTGATGCCAGAAACATATTCACAAAAAGCGAGAAAAACATGAGTTTGCCTAAGCGAATTCCAGGAAATTATGGAGATGTAATTTGTTGTTCGAAATATTTCGGAATTGTTGTTTTCAAACGTCCTTTCGATGATTTCGTGACAGCTGTTGAACTCGAGAAAGAAGCTGTTCGAAGGATATCTCATGAAGGAAATGGTGTTACGTGCTGCATCATTTGCGGAGGAAAGTACATGATAACGGGAGGAAATGATTGTTCTTTAGTTATTTGGAATCTTCCTAATTTCAGTTCTTTGAGAACATCGATGATCCATGGATCTCCAATTGTTGCCGTTGGTGGAAACAGTGATTTAGGTATTGTTGCTTCTTTGGATAAACAAGGATTATTTATTTTGGAAACACTTGTTAATGGAAGATTCTTGTGTTCAACAAATGTTTTAATTGGTCAATCGAAACCTTCTATTTTGATATTCAAGAGTGGTTTGATTCTTTTGGCAGTTTGTAATTACCATTCAACAGTTCTTAACTTGTTTGACACTAAACTCCAGGAAATATGTAACTTAGAATTGAGTGGATGCGCAAGTGATGTAACAAAAATCACAGATGACAGAGGATGTGAATTTATCGCAATGGTTATTGAGAAAGCAATTATTGTTATTGAAGCATATTCGTTGAAATTGTTGTTAACAATTCCAACAGAGTTCCAATCACCACACGTTGGAAGTGTCCGTAAACAACGCTTACTTTTAGTTGGTGATGGAAGAGATTTTAGAACTGTTATGTTCTAATATTTTCCTTATATATGATATTTTTTATTGTTTTATATATATAAATTTAATTTGTTGAATGTGAATAGTTATTTAATTCGAATATCATGGTTAAATGATACTGTGCGCCTGTAAATCATTCTAATACAAGATACTATTTAGCAGGTTTTTCTTTTGACCTTAACCATGTTTATGCATACCTTTTTTCAAAATCTTTTTATTATTATTATGGATCTCAATCTGTAACCCAGAGAACTAATGAATTTACAAAAATGAAAACATTCATGCCATTTAATTCAACGATTGGTGTCGGATTATCGATAATTAGAAAAACAATTACATTTGTATATGAAAATATTAGCGAAAGCTATCAATTGAACTTTGAAACAGATATGAAAATTATACCCGCAATATGGGAAGCAAACCTTGATAATATACAAGATCAAATTTCGATAAATTTTGGTAAATATCCATTTAAATACTATTTACCTGGATTTATTTCATATCAAAACTATCAAAATACCATATCTTCATGCCTTCATAATCCAATATTTAATTTTAACAGCATCTGTCCATCGCTATACATTTTTATTCTTATAAAAGGAGCTTGGCCAAGTCTATCAAATTTGCAAACGGATACATTTTCATTTTGGATAGCTCTTGATTAAAAAAGAAATAAACTCGAAACATGATATTCAACGAAATTTTGAGAATAGTAATTCCTCGATTTCGTTATTGATTGGCATTGCTATTTTCCGAATTCGAATTTCTGTTTTGTGTTTGATCTCATTTGCATTGATAAGTATAACAAGCTGCATTATGAAGAATAAAGAGAAATCTTATGCTTGCTTGTGAAAAAGTAATGATATATGATTGTATGATGCTGCACGCCTGTATCTAAATTTAATAATACTAAAATAAAAAATTTATTTTAAACGCTGACCATATCCAAATCATATATAATGATCATGTGTATGATCAGAATGAAGTCATTAATATTGTTGGAAAGACAGGTGTCAAAATAATTGGTCCAAATATTCGAAAAGGAAATGTTTATTATGAACCAACTCCTCATTCTGATACAAAATACTATTTAGCAGGTTTTTCTTTTGACAACCACCTTCAAGTCTCAGCGTACCCCTATTCAAATTCTTTTTATTATTATTATGGATCTCAATCTGTAACCCAGAGAACTAATGAATTTACAAAAATGAAAACATTCATGTCATCTAATTCAACGATTGGTGTCGGATTATCGATAATTAGAAAAACAATTACATTTGTATATGAAAATATTAGCGAAAGCTATCAATTGAACTTTGAAACAGATATGAAAATTATACCCGCAATATGGGAAGCAAACCTTGATAATATACAAGATCAAATTTCGATAAATTTTGGTAAATATCCATTTAAATACTATTTACCTGGATTTATTTCATATCAAAACTATCAAAATACCATATCTTCATGCCTTCATAATCCAATATTTAACTTCGATATCCATATTTTGTTATTATATCTTTTTATAATTCTGTAAAAAGAGTTTCTATCACTCTATTTTCGTACTCAATACATGAAATCAGAAAATTTTTTAAAAAATTAATTGAATAGTTCCTATTGAAAAATGAAATTCAAAAATGTCATGAATCTAAAAAATTCTATTATGTGATAGAATTGACATGACAATTTTTCATAAAATGACAACCTTTGTATTTTTGATTTTAAACAGAATATTGCTAATGTATTCCTTTGAATAAAACCTTAAGAGTGTACTTACTACTTTCTGATTCCCTCTCTAAAAGATGAAACATCCGTGAAGAGGCTCATAAAAATAAAACCTTAAATAAAAAATTGGAAAGGTGCGAAAAGTGGAAAGTGTACCCTTAAATAATAAAAAATCACGACCACTGAATATATATCGTAAATTCAATACACTTGAAGACTTAACTTCAAGCACACAAGTTAATTTACGATAATAGATTCACTTTTCAATGGTAAAAGTTTATTAAAATAAAGAATAATAATTTTATAGGAGGATGGCTATTTCAAGCACTTATTGCTCCTAGATGCAATTAATTTCGAATCAATTTCATTTAAATATTTTATCGCAATATTTCCAATAATGCAAAAGGCAATACAGATCACTTATATCATTAGCATTAATCATTTCCAAAATTAAAATATGTTATATTGTTACATTGTAAACCAAATAAACTAAATTATTAAGTAATTTTTATGTTTTTTGTATTTTAGACATTTTAGAATATACAAATAAAAGTCCATTGATTATTATTCTAAATTAAGACATTTATCGATATACTGTATATCATTTCATATTCATTCTAATTTTTGCGCAGTTAAAAATATTTTCTCAATATAAATGAGTTTCCGTGTAAAATTTATATATCCCAACACAAATAAATGGTATTTTTATAGAGATTCATATTCATTTTGCAACAAAGAATGAATTTACTCATTGATACAAGATATAAATATAACAAGTGTACTAAACTATACAACTCATTGACGAATCATATAAAATTTATATAATAATCAATAAATAAACAAAAATATAATCTTCAAACTTAAACAAGATCTAACATGATAGCACAGAAAAGGTTCTGATGATAAGTATATATAACAGCATTACTTATGATTGTGCTTCTAACAAAAATTTTTTGTCTTTAAAGAAAAGCTATGGTCACATTGTTTAAGAGTGAAAACGTCTCACCCAGTCAATTTTTTTTTGTCAAAAACAAGCATTGGTCTCTATTTTAGTATCATAAACAAAGATGTGTAAAAATGATGTACTTGATTAGTTCATTATGATTTTACTTTTAGTACTTGGTTACACCGATATTGACAAAAGTTTTTATTCAAATGACGGGAAAATCCTTAAAAGAGTTAATGATAAATCACATGATCTCAGAATATCATCAACATGCGAAATCATCCAAGAAAACTGCTTTTACGGACTCAGAACTTTAAATTCCTTTTCATTTGAAGAAAATCCAAACTTAACAACAATTGGATACCAAAGTTTTTATGGGTGCACAAATCTTACCATAATAAATCTATCATCATGTTATAAACTTACAAAAATATCTTCTTATGCATTTCGCGACTGCTTTAAAGTCAAACAGATACTTTTACCAGAAGGTCTCCTTATAATACAAGCCTATGCATTTTATTCTATTTCACAAGTGACCAGTGTTATCATACCCGCATCTGTTGAATTAATAGGAGATGGTGCATTTCATGGCTGTTCTAAACTACAAAATGTTACTTTTAAAGAAGGATCAAATTTAACTTCATTAGCAGAGGATTTATTTGTTTATACTGCAATTACTTCGTTTCAAATTCCAGAAAAAGTTTCCGAAGTCAATGGACATCCAGTTAAAAATGGGCAATTAACAAATTTTACAATTCATCCTAATAATAACTACTTAACAGTTAAAGATGGGAATGTTATTTATTCAAAAAATAAAAGTATTTTATTTTTTATTTTAAACAAAACAGGATATGAAATTCCAAACTCAGTCACAACTTTAGGAAATAGTTGCTTTAGAGGTTCATCTATCGAAACTATTCATATCCCATATTCAGTTACAACTATTGGATGGCATTGCTTTGCAGAATTATCTTTAAAGATAATTAAAATTCCAAATACAGTCACAAGTATTGGAGATGATTGCTTTAGAGGTTCATCTATCGAAACTATTATATTTCCAAATTTAACTACAACTATTGGAGATGGTTGCTTTGCATTTTCATCTATCAAAACAATTATAATTCCAAACACGGTCACAACTATTGGAGATAGATTCTTATACTATTCATCTATCAAAGCATTTACAATTCCAAACTCAGTCACAACTCTGGGAGTGTGTTGCTTTTCACAAACATATATAGAAACAATTATAATTCCATCAAGTGTGAAAAGGATTGAAGCGCATGCTTTCTCTAATTGTTATTATTTGAAAAATGTTACTTTTTTAGGTCCAATAGATTACATTAATCAGGCATTTGATTATTGTAGTGATCTAGAACTAATTATATTTCCTAATTCATCAATGGCCGTTAAAACATTTTATTTTATTACAAATAATATGCCAAAAGTCAAATTATCATTCACTTGCAAAACTATATTTGCTACTTCATATTATTCAATTCAAAGAAATACAAATGTTTCAATTTCATATCTAAATGAACCAAATCTTATTATTACACCATATTGCTTGATTATGGATTTTAATCAAACCGTAATTTATGAATATTGGTGATGCCCCTCTTATGATGAGCGTATTACAATTCCTAAATCTGCTACAAAAATCAAAGAAAAAGCTTTTGAAAATTCTACAGTTGAAAATATTTATTTCACAGAAGATTCTCAAATCACTTATATAGAAAATGATGCATTTAGAAATTGTTCAAAATTAAGATTATTTAATTATTCATTTCCTTATTTACAAGCATTAGGAACATCATCATTTAAAGATTGCATTAATTTAGAAAATTTCACATTTTCATCACCAAATTTGATTGTAATGAGTAATGCATTTGAGAATTGTATTAAATTAAAGAATGTTAGTAATATCACAAATATTCCTGATAATTGTTTTTGTGGATGTACTAATTTAGAAGAAATTACAATTCAAGAAGGGTCAGTGAAGATTGGATATAAATCATTTGAAAATTGTTCTTCATTATTAAGTATTAAAATTCCACAATCTATTCTATTTATTTCAGAATATTCATTTCTTTCTTGTGAGAAACTAAAATCAATTATATTCAGTGAAACAAACTCACTTAGGAATTTTTCAATTAATTCTATTTCAGAATGCAAATCTCTTATAAATATCAGTAATTTTTCATCAGATAAATTCAAATGTATTGATAATACTTTATACTACAAAAACAATACTAAATGGGAACTTATTTTTCATTTGAGTGAATCAAAAGACAAAGAACTCAACATTAGCTGCGATGTTATCTGTAGTTATTCATTCAATTCTAGCAACAACATTGAGAAAATCAATATTACATCAGACAGTGTTTCTGTTATTGAAGAACATTCATTCAACAACTGTCTTAATCTCAAATACATCAATTTCCCACTTTCAGTTTCAGATGTTGAGATTGATGCATTCCATGATTGCAAATCCATTCGATGTCCTCTTATTATTGAGAACACATCCACAGATTATCTTAAAATGATTGTTTCTTCCGGAATTCCACGAAGACTTATGATTTCATGTCATATTGCACATGTTTCGAATAATCTTTTAAGTCTCAAATCTTTACGTTATCCTTCTACACATCTTTTCTGGAAACATCTTACTAAATAAAACTATTTTTATTTTATCACAATTAACAATATCTGTTTTCAAAGATTTTCTTTTGTAATTGATCGAGCAGATCAGAGTTTTGAGAAAAGACATCAACATCATGAATCATCAGAATTTCTTCCGAATCTTTTTATTATATGTATGGGGCAAATTTACAAAAGCCGAAGAAGATACAAAAGTTCATTTTGATATTCAATTTATCTGAAATCAATTGGGATTTCTATTTTTGAATCATGATATTATATTGCTTATATGTCGATCATTTGAAACAAGTTTTGTGCTTAAATTAATTAAATCTTAAATTATTATCAATTCATGGAGTTAATCGCATTGCACATATGTGTGCTGATACACCGTCTACAGGTCACTGAACATCCAACTTCAGTTAAATGTATGACGCTGCACGCCAGTATAAAATTTGAAATTTCAAAAAAATAAAAATATAAAATCTTCAATAATTTCAAGTACTGATCATATCCAAATCATATATAATGATCGTATATATGATCAAAATGAGATCATTACTATTGCAGGTTTCACAAATCTCAAAATAATTGGTCCATATATTCGAACAGGAAACGTTTATTATGAATTCACTCCATATACAGATACAAAATTCTATATAGCCGGATTTCAATTTAATAACCGTGCTGTCACTGCATATCCATGGAATCAATCATTTTATTATATGTATGGAGACATATATACAACTCAAAAAGCAACCGCTTATACAAAACTAAATACACACATCCCATATAACTCCACAATTGGCATCGGATTATCGATTCCAAGAAAGACAATAACTTTTGTTTACCAAAACTATACAGAAAGTTATGAATTAGAATTCACTGCAGATATGAAGATCATTCCAATAATCCGAGAAGCACAGGAACCAAACATATCCGATAATATTTCAGTAAATTTCGGAAAATATTCTTTTAAATACGATTTACCAGGTTTTATTTCGTATCAAAAATATCAAAACACGATGTATTCATGTCGTCAAAATTCTTTATTTAATTTGCATCTGAATTTTGCTTTTCTATATGTTTTTATTGCTATATAAAACATTACTCTATTGCTGTAAGTTTTTTGACTGTATATATCAATACCAAATATAGTTAATTAAAATATTTCTTGAATCTTTTTTTCCAAATAGAAAATTAAGTAGCTGTGAATGTTTTTATATTGAAAAAGAATATATATATACGCAATTGTTTTATCAATACATTATAAAAATTAAAAAAAGAAATAAACTCTGAACAATTTGATTCTAAAAAATTCTGCATGGATCACTACTCTGATTTGGTGCATTAGCAGATTGTGATGAAAGGAATTTCTCGAATTCATTGTTGTGTTCTTGATTGGCATATTGCATTGCTGTTTTTCGACTTCGATCTTTTGCTTTGTATTTGATTCCATTTGCAAGTAATAGTTCTGCAATCTCTTTATTGTTTTGCCATGCTGCCAAATGCAGTGCTGTCTGTTTATTGTTATCTTTAGAGTTGATATCTGCGCCATGTTTGATCAGAACTTCTGCTGTATCTCTACAGTTATTCAGAGCAGTTATATGAAGAGCACTCCATCCAATATTATCTTTCGCATCAATTTCAGCGCCATGTGATATTAAAAGTTCTGTTATATCTTTCCAATTGTTATATGCTGCTTTATGGAGAGGAGTTTGCCGTCAGCATCTCTAATGCTGAGATCAGCATTATGCTTGATTATAACTTCGGCTGCTTCTTTTCTATTATTGTATAATGCATAATGAAGTGCGGTTGCTCCTTTGTTGTCTACTAAATTAATATTTGCACCACGCAAAATCAAGTCTGATACAATATCTTTGCAATTATCATCTGCGGCATAATGAAGAGCTGTTTTCATATTTGAATCTGTAGAATTTACATCAATGCCATTTGTAAGAAGAATATCAGCTATTACTTTATTTTTGTTTTTAATTGCATAAAAAAGTGCTGTTTTTCCTTTATCGTCTTTTGCATTAATATCAGCACTATTAAAAATAAGTATTTCTGTTGTTTCTTTGCAGCTGTATTTGATAGAATAATGAAGTGGTGTTTGCCCCGTGGAATCTTTTGCATTGATTTCGGCACCATAAGCAATAAGTTGTTCTGTCATTTCTTTTTCGTTTTTCATTACACTTATGTGAAGTGGAGTTTGTCCCATCTTATTTTTAATGTTCACTTTAATTCCATCTCTTAAAACCATATCAGCAATTTCCTTATTATTATTGATAGCTGCATAATGAAGAATAGAATTTTCTTCCTTATCTTGTGAATTAATATCAGCGTTATTCAAAATGAGAACTTTTAATACATCAATACTATTACACCATGCTGCCATATGTAATGGATTTTGAATATTTGAATCTACTAATTTATAATCTGCTCCATATGAAATAAGAAGTTCTGCAATTCTCTTTCTATTATGAACTGCAGCGAAATGAAAAGCAGTCCATTGAGTATTATTTCTTGAATTGACATAAGCTCCATTATTAAGAAGAATTAATGCAATGTCATAACTATCATGAATAACAGCAGAATGAAGACATGCTTGTCCATTTGAATCTTTCATATTTACATCAGCTCCATGAGAAATAAGAAGTTCAACAATATCTTTATGAGAATTTTCTGTAGCGTAAAAAAGAGGAGTATTGTTAATTACATCTTTTGCATTGACATTTGCTCCATATGAAATAAGAGCTTTAACAATTTCAATGCAATTAAACTTCACTGCCTCATGAAGTGCTGTTCTTAACTTTTTATCTCTTGATTTAAAATCAGCACCACATGATAAGAATAAAGAAACAAAATCTAAATCACTAAAACAAGGAGAAAAAACAAAACATAATTTGAAATCAAAATTATACAAAAATGCTTCCAAATTATTGTATTTTGCACAAAGTTCTAGATCGATTTCTATATCATATTCATTAACCAGTTTAGTTATTATGTCCATACGATGAGAAATAATGGCATATTTCATGTTGCTTTCATCAGGTTTTTGCAATTTCAAAACTTTATTTATCAAATCATTATTTCCACTTAAAAATGAATAAGAGATGCATTTTTCTGTAATTTTTGAATTGAATTTGGTTTGTAATGAATCGAAACATTTTAATGCACCATAGTAACAAAATAACTCGAGAAGAGAGATTCCTTCGCATTCTGGAAAATAATCTAATTTAATTTTTTGATTTGATGTGGTTCCTTCTTGTTCAAGGAACATATTGAATTGTATATCATTATCATTTAATATTGATTGGTAAATTGTCCCGTTTTCGAAGATATCAAATGAATAATTTTGAGAATCTAGTTCTTTGATGCATTTTTCTTTATCTTTGTCTAAAATTAGACCGTAATCTTTGTATATAAAGTAATTAAAGAGTTTTCCTTTCTCAGCGATTGATTTTGGTTGAAATTCGTCAAAGAACTTTTTGAAAAGCATCCAATATGAGTGTAAATATCGATTATTACATTTTGAAATCATACAAATTTGCTCAAGTAATTGATCTGGTGATTTTTTATGCGCTTCGATGAGTACATTTTTTAACATTTTGTAAATTTCATCGATTTCATGGTCATTGCTAGTATTTATCTTATATAGAGTATTGTATGCATCAATGTAATCCTTGTATTTATGCATAATATCTTCATAACATTTGTTTTTCATGTTCTGATCACTCATTTACAATTAATTTATAGTAAAAAACGTGACATTAAAATATTTTTAAAAGTTTTTATATAATTAGAGAACTATATGATACATAAAACGATTGTATGTTGCAATTTTCTGATCTCCAAACAGAAAAGTTGAAAAATTAAAAAGTCATAAAATTTTCATGCACATAAATTAGTGAAAATATAGATTTTTGATTTCAATTGGCAAATATTGTTTGAATGCAAAATAATCGTTCTCTTTGAAAAATTGAAATGGGAAAAAATGATGAACTATCATCTAGAAATGTTTTACATCTAAATTATATTCACATTCAAAGTAATTGAAAAGTTTGATGGGTTACGGGTGTGCAGGACGCGCAATAATGAGAAAAGTGGCCTCTTAGTAGTAATATAGATATGTGCATATACGGAATTAAAGTCCACTATAGCTAAAGATTAATTTCCGAAATCAAATTAGCTTAGATTTGATCATGGTTCTTTATCAACTTTAATCATAGCCATGAGTTTCTCATATACAATACATACCTCAATGTGAAAAAAAAAATAATAAAGTAAATCGAAAGATATTTTTTAATCTCTTGATAAAAAAATCTTTTTTTGATTTCTAAAAAGAAATTCTAAATAACTTAGTTGTGCATCTGTTGGACGAATCCCTTGAATGCGTTGTAGTTATCGTTGTTGTTGCAAAGATCGTCGCACATTCTGAGGTATGTGAAGATGCTAAGTCCTTTGTTCTTCCACTCGATGCAGCGGGAGTATGAACCCCAGTCGTAGACTGCAAGAGCGTTCTCACCTTCAAAGTTGAGACCAGCCCACTTAGCGTCGTTCAAGATCTGCTGGACGAGGTATGGTGGGTTAGAGCCAGAGCCACCAGCTGTCATTTCAAGGCATGTGAAGCAAACATCGACGTTGTGCTTCTTGAAGACAGTCATCATGTCTCTGTAGCCATCATAATCGTAGAAGTTGTTGAAGCCTGCTGTTGCTTCGGCGCAATGGCAGGATGTCATGTACCACCAGTGGATGCCGGCGATCTTAGCGGAAAGGTGTGTTGTTGGGAAGATTTCACGAGCAATAGAAAGAACCTTGTCACTGTGAGCGTTGAGCTTGCTAGCATACCATTTGATGTACCATCTGCCGTATGCTGATGACCAGCCGTTGGATGTGCCGTCACGCCAGAAATCAGAACCTCCTGGTTGTGTGTTCCAGCCACCAACATTGTATGGGTGATGACCCCAGTCAGAATGGCCAGCAGCAACTGCATCCTGTTGTAACTGCTTTGTGAATTCGGAGTCGTATGACTGGAATTCACCGCATCCTGGATAGGACCAGCCCTTCCATGCTTGGTATGATGGGTAACGGAGTTCACCGCAAGCACCAAGGCCGATTTCGAGCTCAACGATAGCACCGGAGTTGATGTAGCTGTTGAAATGCTCCTTGAAAGCATTCATCCAATCCTTGTAGCACTGGAGTGGTGTTCTGCCAGCTGGTGTAACAGGGATTTCATCGTATGCAATGGAAATGTATTCCTGATCGACCTTGCCGTCCTGATCGTAGAAGAATGGGTTCTTTGAGGAACTTCTGATGAAATCTGGAAGGTAGATAGCGCAGTCATCGCCAACATTGCCGCCGCACTGATGGAAAGAGAAAACTGGAACAATCTTCATGTTTCTAGATTTGATCAAATCGAAAGCCTTTTGATAACCATCCCACTTGTAGTTGGATTCGCTAATTTCTGTTCTGCCCCACCAGACATCAATCATGATGCCATCGACACCAGCTTCGTGAAGTCTGTTGAGATAGTATTCGAACTGGCCTTGATTGACGAATTCTTGGTTATCATTTAAGAGATTCAATGTTGCCATAACATAAAACTTCGCGCCGCATATAGCGTGTGATGCGAGAAGTCCGAGCATTTAAAAATAATGAAGAGTTTTGTCAAGCTTTCAATTTTGGCCAATTTCTTTCAAAAAAAATTCAATCTTCCGGTAGCCAAATTTGAATCTGAAACGATAGTTTTCCCTTCAAAACTAAATCTCATATAATTCATTTTATCACATATATAAGATAATTATTAGCTGAGCAAGATTTATTAAAAACGATGTTTTTGATTTGAATCATTGCTAAGTAGTATATGTTGATGGGTTTTGTGACTTTTTTTGTAAACGTAAGAATTCATACAATATCGAGCGATTTTGTATCATTTTTTTTAACATATGAAGTAAAAAATGTATGAATTCTTACGGTTTTTATTCTTACATTTTTGAATAAATCAAGATTTAAAAAATTTTCAAAATTGTAAGACATTTACACTCAGCCCATACATAATGAAATAAAAAATAAAATTTTTTTTAAAAATCATTTTAAGGGTGGCTTCCGACCAAATTGTCACTTTTTAACCCAAGTGAGAAAATTTCGTAATTTATAACCAAGTTTTTTAAAATCTATATTTAATAAAGATTCTATTTTTCCTATTAAATTTCAAAAATGAGGGGGTTCGGAATCGTCCACAAATTGCCGAAAGGGTTTTTGCCAGTTTTGAATCCGCTTATTTTTATTGACCAAAATTATAATAAATATAATTTTCGATAAGTATTCTACCCAAATGATTCTTCAAAAAATTATTTTTCGGATTTTATTCCGTAAAAAAACGTTACAGAAAACGCCTATAAAATTTCGAGGGGGGCACAAACTTGCCCAGTGAGGTGAAGTGAAAAGTGACAGGTTTACATGTCAGAAATGTAAAGCGTCAGATTTGAAACAAAAAATGGATTAATTTATTATTATATGATAGAGAGATTTGGTAAGTTACTATCAAATTTGTAAGTAAGGGGAAAAAAAGTAAGAAAGAAAAAAAATTTTTTAAAAATAAAAAGCCACTCGCTTCGCTCGCGGTTGACAAAAAGAACAAATTCGTAAAATAATTGTATGAAATTACGAAACTAAGCCACTCGCTTCGCTCGCGGCTTAAGAAAAGAACAGATTCGAAAAAAGATTGTATGAAATTACGAAACTAAGCCGCGAGCGAAGCGAGCGGCTTAAGAAAAGAACAGATTCGAAAAAAGATTGTACGAAATCACGAAACTAAGCCGCTCGCTTCGCTCGCGGCTTAAGTAAACAACATATTTCAGATTATCGATACTAAAAATTTTTTTATTTTATTGCATTTTTTTTAAAGCTTCTTAAGGGTGCACACGAGAGGATCATGTAAACTTCAGAATTTAGAACCTTATTTTTAGGCATTATCTTGGCTACCTATTTAGGCTCGAAAAGCAAAAAATATCAAAAAATACAACTTGACTCCATTATGACCCTTTCATGGAGGTAGTTTTTATCCGCTAGTATTTTCCCTTTGAATCTCTTTACAATTCGAAATCAAATTCAAAACTCAGTAGAAGAAAGGAAGAATCGACTTACTACGGTTGTAATACGAATAAATACATATATTTAATTATTTTTATTTACATAATAATTGTTTGAAGCTCATATTCCATCAAATTTTTAAATAAAAACATTAAAATGTTGAAAATGTTCATATATTTTAATAAGGTTTTGGCACTTTATTGAGGAATTACTACATACATAGTCGAACTGAACTTGATATTTTGAAATTTAAATTATTTATCAAAATTAAAATTTAACTTGAAATTTATAATTATTTAGTCATATTTTGCATAATTCTAAGTAGATTTTGTAAAAAATCAAGAAAGAAAAATTTTAACGTGCTTTATTTTTTTTATAATAATACATATTATTATATAATTAACATATTCATAATGTTTCACCCTTTCAAAAATATAATCCTCCTCCTCTCAAATAAACGTACATACGGGTGGCCTCTTTTTTCAAAAAATTAAAATTTGAAATTTTGGGCTCAAATATTAGAGATTTTTTCAACCTTCAACGATATATGTTGTCTATATCAGACCTCCTTTCTTTTTGATACTTAACATTGTTCCTAAATCTTAGCCGTTAAGGCTGTTCTGAAAATATTTTTTTTTCGAAAAAATTCGAAAAAATTCGAAAAAATTCTTAAAATTCAAAAATCCCTTAATTCCTGAGGATTTTGGAAAAAAGTTTTTACATGAACATGTGTATATTATATGAAGTATATTGATAAGGTAAAAATCAAATTTTATTGCATATTCATCGAGAAAATAAACTAACGAATCCCTCAAAATTGAGAGGGTAATCCCCCTCCTCTCAAATAAACGTACATACGGGTGCACCCTTAAGAAGCTAAATTCTGAAGTTTACATGATCCTCTCGTGTGCACCCTTAAAAAAATGCAAAAAAAATTGAATACTTTACTGGCTGGGCAAATTTGTCGCCGCCCCTAAAATTTCGAATTTTCCCTAAAAAATTCAGTGCAGGTCGATTTAAGAGATTTTTCAAAAATAATCATATCAGTAGATAGGGTATAATATAGAGGAGCTTTATGAATAACTCAAAATCCGGGAAACTCAATATTCAACGAGAAAAACGCTTAACGAATCTCACTTTTGGTGTAAACATCACAAAAAATTGAGAGAGCTTTCTGGTCGGAAGCCTCCCTTAAAATAATTTATTTTATCGTTTATAAAAGAAGCTATATATAGATGATGTCAGATATTCCGCGATTAATTAAACATTGTTTAAATCCTGAATGGAATCAATGAAGTCATAATCAAAGACCTCATAAACGAGTAAAAGAAATTAAAAATTAATGATTATTTGAATTTATGAAATCAATTATTTGATTCATTCTTTCTTCAATCTCTTCTATTCTTTTTGTTAAATCATCTATTTTCATTAATGAGGTGATTCTTGATTGAGGAATAGATTTCAAACTAACCACTCCTTTTATTTTTGAAATTTTGAATCCATCAACTTTAAACATTTTATTCAATTTACACGTTGTCAATTCTTCAAATAATTTTTTATTATTGGCATAATAGTCATTAAATTCTTCAACAGATGAAAAAAATTTTATTTCAGTAATTGGTTTAACAACGTTTATTTTTTGTTGAACATTTTCACTTTCATTTATTTCTTCCTCCTCTGTTTCATTTATTTTTAAAATCGGTTTCATTTATCATTAAATAAAAATTAGAATATAAGTGATGAAAATGAATTTTTTAATTAATATTAAATCAGAAATGGCGGCAGGATTCTTTAAAAAATTATGGGATGGAATTAAGAAAGCTGCGGGTTGGGTTCATAAAAAGATTATTAAACCCATTGCAAACATTTTGGCACCAGTAGCGAAAACGGCAGGAACTATCATAGGTGGAGTATTAGGTACTAAAGCAGGTAATCCGGTGATGGGAGCACAAGCAGGTAACGCAATTGGTGGAATAGCTGAAGGAATACTTAATAAAATAGGGGGTAGATAGTGGAAAAATAAATTATTTTAAAATTATTTTTATCTTAGTATCGGTTGTAGTCTTTGATAAACTTTTTCTCCTTTATTTAAAACTTCTCTTATTGGGGCAGCTTTTGGTGTTATTGATTCAGCAACGTCACTAATTGCTTCTTTATTCTTAAATATCCAATTTGCTCCCTTCTTCAATGTTTCCCAAACTTTACTCGCCCCTCTTTTTACTCTATCCCACAGTTTCTTAAATATACCCGCAGCCATAGTTGATTATTTCATTAAAATTAAAAATTCATTTTCATCTTTTAATTTTGATTTTTTATTTATTAATAAATGACGACTAACTATTTAGTGCCAAACACCAAACCGATTAATGGAAATGTGTTTCATTCATTCGAAAAGATAAATGAAATATTCGCAAAGAATGACGGTAGAAGATATTATAGAGAACTTGAAAGTTCATGCTATGACTCTGATGCTCCATATTTTGATGATAAACAAACTCATTTAAGAATTACAAATCCAGCTCATGATGTGAACCAATTAGGTGACACATATATTAAACGCAAAGTTAAAGCAACTCTAGTTTCAAATAAAGCTTTCACATGTGATGCCGCTTTTAAGGATGGGCACTCATTAGGGTGATGAAAAAAATCAAGTCTAGCAAAGTCAATATATTAAAAACAGTGAAGACTATTATATAGCATTATAGTGCACAAGCTCAAATATTTAGTGATGCATTTCTCGAACTTATTTTATTTATAAGTTAACCTTGAAACATGAATTTTAGTATATCATGAGCATATTTTTTTCTAATTTTGCAATACTTATAATATCATACCAGGATTCATGTGGAAGTCTAATATTTGGTATATAATATTCTTACAATAAATGTATTAATTCAATTATATTCAAAATGATGGGTCGCAATTTTTACTGAAATTGCAAATTTAATTTCAACAATGAAATTATTGTTTAAAAAAATAGCACAACAACAAGATGGACAATCATATATAGAATTATAATGCTCCATATAATGCTTGGATTTGATGCGTATATAATGTTATTTTTCGAACATCTTTGTAAAAAATTGATTTTTGTAATTTTTGAAAAAATTCGATTTTATTTCGAGATTTCCTCTATAGGTGAAGTATATTGAACAATATTCCTATGGGAGAAAATAATTGTAAGTATGAGTACTTTCATTAATACTATGGGTGCCATGGTTATCGCTCAAACGATCAAGTTATATCTCGATTGCGTAAATTGAAATTTTGCTATTTTCTAAATTCACGGCAACAACATTCTTTTATCCTGATCGTACATCACAATATTTGAATGTGCGACCATTTGTTCAAGAAACCGTCAAGTTATTCTTCATTTTTCATGCCGCGGCGAACAAAAGCAGTTGCAAAGCGTATAAAGAACTTAGTTCAAAGCGCGAAAAATAGGGTAGAGCCATATGTCGTCAACACTGTTGAATTTGTGCTATCTGTATTATTGAGCGGCGCTACATTTTGCCAATCAGAATTTCAATTCATGCTGAATAACATCAAAGTT